CGCCATCCCCCAATGACACCCAGTTCCCCGTGACAGACGTTTTCATCTCTTCTCGTCTCAAAACCCCAATGCCACCTCGTCTTCGCGCACGCGGCAGGACAGGTTCGAGATTAACTCTCATCCCACAGGCTCCTAGCTTGATTTACCACCCATGTGGTGAAACTTATTGCGGAGGTGGATCCGTACTTCAGACATCGCCATCCCGGCTATAACCAGAACATCACAGAGTCCCCCCCCCCCAGTGCCGTCAGCGCATCTCATCTCTAACTGCATGATTGAACGCAAATATGGACGGCGGGGGTGGAAACGCCCATCGGTTTTCAGTTACACCATCGGGTGGGGACCCTGGACACCAACAAGCGGGAAAACAGGGTCTGGTTGATGCTTCCATCAACTGCGAAATGAGCGCCTGTTTACCTCCCGGGGACCCTCCAACGTCCTTAATCTTGCCAGCGAGGGTAGATCCCTGAGGCCTTTTCCTGTCCACACGTCACCCGTGTCCCTCTTTCCTGATTGCCGGCAGACCGCGGACTACACGGCACGTCCGCCGGGCAAGACGGCATCTTCATCCTGGGGACCTTGGCCCTGTCGACCCGGGTCACCGTTGAACTCCGAAACTCCAAACCTGCTTTTACCACGTAGACTTACCGCCAGCAAAGTACCAATCCCGCATGCGAGATTTGCATCCCTTAGCCAAACCTCCAGGACCCGGCGGTGGGCTACGTACGGTACTCCCTAAATGCAAAAATTGGACAGTGCAAGGGAACAACGCGTGCTTAAACATCCCGTCGTCAGGGTTGGACGGCGCTGGCGGCTACGGGGTTACAAACGCAGGAATCTCGAAGCCTCCTGCAAGAGCCTGCTTCTTGGATGGGCCTCCGGTTGGCTCAGAAGCATCGGATCGCCCAGGCAGGAAAGTCGCTTCGAGAAACATGTCGTTTGACGATTCCTGCGACCACTTTGCACGGCCTGGCCACCCGGCGCCCTGGGCTTAGAGTCTCGCTACGTTGACGCCGCCTTGGCGCCTGGCCTGGCTGGCCTGGCCGGCCCGGGAGAACCCCTCATTTGCGTCTGCTCCATCAGGACCAACATCCCTGACGTCAAGCCAACGCAGGTTTCGCAGCGGCGTCGAGATTCCATCACAATACTCTGATTGAATGCCGATCATGCTGAAGTATACTCGGGAGTTTGGAGTGGCTTTTTTTCCCCCTCTTCTTTTTGCAACGCTGGAATGGTATTGGGAAGTTGCGGGAGTCAACGTAAAAGGGACAAACGCCGCAGGATGCGAACACACCTGGCTCACCGTACCATGACAGTCGCTGTTCAAGACAAGAGGAAATAACCGGCTCCATGGCAGTCATAGCATAAACGGCGAGTACAAAAAACATAGTCGCAAGGGCTGGAGCGGACTGTGGCGTTGTCGACCCGTCATGGAAGGCTGTGACAAAGCTCGATGACCTTTGTATGATTCTATGAGGGTTGTACTCGCCCAGCACCTATTGGGCAACAATCTAGATGGATGAGACAAATGTCCCCAGAAACCTCGAGAACACGCACATGCGTAGTCTCTGGCGGCCTCCGTCCAAAGCGTTCAATGGCATACGCGTGTCCAAGACAGGTGACGGAGCCACCTTAGTTTCGCAATCTTGATCCGAGAGGGCATCAAAGAACAACCCCGCAACCCTACGACCTCTCAACCTCTTGGTCCGTTGTTCACAAATCGGCAACGCTCGCACACTTTCAGGGTTCTCCAAGACACCTCCTGATCTACTTCCCTCCAACCTTGTGCTCCCCTCCCCGAAAAGAGCATTTCCAGAAACTCTAGCCTCTTCCGTCGTAGCCTTCCTGCCTCCTGTGACGCTGACACGTCGCCCTAGGCATCGTCCGACATGTCAGGGCGCCGTCGCGCAAGGAGACATACCGTCGAGATATTGACACATGACACGTCCCGCCAGCCCATGGCAGCTTCCTACGCCATCAGGGTCGCCTGTCCCGATCCATCCACGGCCGTGTGCGGGCTTCGTTCCAGGTAAGCAGCTCTGAACGACGCCGACGTGGCTTGGCCGCTTGGGTGAGCGGCATGGCATCCGCCAGGTCTGGAACCCGCCGCGTCGGAGATAGATAGTGACACATCATTACCGGCTCGTCTTGCCCCTCCTGTCTGTCACTGATCCGCCATCAGCATGCTTACTCTGACCGGATGGGCACAGGAAGGAGAGCAGCCTTGAACAATGCCGGGACTGAGACACGTAGACTTTTGCTGCCTAACGGCTCACATATCGGCGCCCCCGAGTCCTGGTGTGGTATCTCATCCACCGCCGTCGCACCGTTCGGCGTGGCCGAATTCATCTTTCTTGCTACCGCTGCTGTCTCGGCTACCTGCTGGAAGCTGTATGTGCGATGTTGACAGACCCTTTACCACCTGAGGATTCTCTGGCCTCGTAGCGGTAACGTGGTACGTCGGAAAAGATCACAAGGCAGATCACACCAGTCCAGCCTGGTCCAAACTTCCGCTTAACATACTACAAGGACAAATCTTGAATCGATGGCGGCCCCGTTTTCCAATCGTCATTCCCAATAGAAGAAGCAGAGAATACGGGCTCGGAATGGTGTAGGGCTATCGCGATAGTAGATTGCGCATGTCTTGGCGTCGTACGTGACGCACGCTTTTCGGATGCCGTCGGCAGAGAACAGCGGGGCCGAGATCAACAACGGGGGACTCGGAGGCGTAGCGTGGGAGAGGCCATGGAAGGCTCAAATGAGGCGGGTGGAGGGACTTTCAGGCGATTGACGGGCAGGTGCGCGTGAAAGGAGTTCGTTGGACGACATGTTTGCTTCCGTCTCTCGAGGGGAGGCTGCTGTGCTAGGACCTGCGGACTGACGGGGTTCATGCCTACATAGGGGGTGTTTCTGTTGATTATGTTTCGGCCCATACGCTTGCTCCGAAGAGACACCTGATGGCAGGAGAACTGATATTGCGCCTCAAAAAGCCATCTTGGCAAACCTGTGACCTGGGACACTGGCACAGAATATGTCCGCATATTGTTGAACCGCGAGTATCAGTAAGCCTGTGTAGGTAGGGACCGGCATCACGAAGCCAGTGACTGGTAGATTGTGAGTCGCAACTCGCCCCGAACGCTATAGAAATGGGTATTGCTCCATCTTTGATATGCCTTTCGTGCTGGCTCATGACTGTTGGCGACGGCCAGTCGGCCCAGTCCAGCTAAGAAGCATCGCAATTGCGATTGCCGAGAATCGCCTGGGTCATCAGAGAGATACAGGCTAGAAAAGCATGAAAAGAACGCCATTTGGATGATCCCAACTCTGATTGATGACATATGTACACAGCGTTCTATCGCCAAGACCCGAGCCTACATCTTCAACGCAAAGCCCAGACTCCCCTCCGTCCGTGGCATTTGTGCCAGAGGAAGAGAATGGAGCCGTCTTCCCACAGCGCCTTTCGCACACATAAACGCCCACGCACATTCTACGACGCTTGCTTGTTGCCCTCGGCCTTTGACGGGGGAATGAAGGGCTTGCCCTCGAGGGTGTTGATGGCTTGGTCGGCGTAGATCATGTGAGTGCGGAGCTCGACAGGGGTGACGCCGGGACGCTGGTCGGGGATGTGCTTCTCGAGTTTCTAGGAGCGGTCTTGTTAGCCGCTGTTTGGTGTCCCGCGGTGTGGGAGCAGTAGTGATTCCGGAAGTCCTCTTATCTAACGGTTACAACGTACCAGGTTCTCATAGACACATTTGTTGAGCTTCCACTCAGGCTGTCGGCACTGGTAGAGCTGGTGGTTGCGGTTCTCGATGCAGGTCCAGTGGGCCTTGAACTGCTCGAGGCAATGGGTGTTGATGTCCTTCAGCCTGCGGATGGCGGAATCCAAGTCAGCGCGTTTCTACATTCATATCGTATCCCATGCTCGAAGTCCAATGGGTCCCTGTCTGCGAAGCCCAATTGAAGGGCAGCAAGCCACTCTTCTTGCCGATAATTCCAATGGGGAGAGTGGGTGGTTCGACGTACACGCTGGAGGCACATCTCGTGACCCGACGACCCTCCTTCAAGCAGTCAAATTCACCGCGGCCCGCGCTCTCCGTCTTGCACTGCATGAAATCGTCATTGTATTCGCGGCATCGGGCGCCGATGAAGTAGGATGCTGACAGCAGGGGCGCGGAGCTGGCACCGATCTCCTTGACCTTGGGGATGCTATCGGGCAGAGGGGTCGTGTCGACCTGTACCTGCTGGTTGAATCTGCGAGCGCATTTGTGATTAGTCTGTTGTTGCGTTCCGCGATCCGAAATTACGTCCAAAACGTGCCGCGATTGGGCCAATTGGACCGCTAAATCGAGCGACGGAGCAGAGGGTTCACGTACTGAGGCCGTCGGGACGCCATGGCTGTGGTTGTGGTGATGGAGTCGGAGGGGAAGGGAGAAGTCGGTTCTAGGGTCGGATGGTCATCCAGAGCAAGCTTTCCGGGCGATGGACACTACGAACTAAGGTGAGGTCGATTTAGAAGGGATATGATTGGCTCGGCTGGGTGTGAGGCTGAGCTCAAGCCTTGAATGTGGCGCTGCTGCGAGGTGGTCGTGGTGCTTTGCTCTCGGTCTGGAAAAGTGTGGCGCCCGGTGAAGGCTGCCAGCGCTGCAGCTGCGAGCTCCGATTTATTATTTTCGCGTCTGTTGCTGCGTACCAAAAACAAGGGTAAGGCTCAACAGCAGCCCACGATCGATACCCAGTGAACATCCTCGCCGCACACTGCGAAACATCTGCGACAATTGCTTTCCGGTTGCTCCTAGAAGCCGCGACCTGTTCCGACACCTGCGACCTCTTCAATTGCGGCTCGTCCCAACGACTATGCGCTAAGGGCCCTTTCGCTCATTGTTTTCTTTGGCGCTGCAACTCTGCGCATCAACCATCCGCCCCGACTGTACGAGCTCGCTGGCAAAGCGACGCTCCACCTCCCTTGATACCAGTATAATTCATAGGCGTCATTACTTAAAATGAGTCTATTCGGAGCACCAAAGCCCGCTGGGCAGACCGGAGGTCTCTTTGGCGGCGGTGGATTCGGCGGCAGTACGCTGGGACAATCAACACAACAGCCGCAGCAGCAACAACAGCAGCAAGGCGGAACGAGTCTCTTTGGACAAACGCAGAACCAAGGAAACGCCTTTGGAAACCCCATGGCCCAGTCCCAACAGCCGCAACAGCAGCAGCAGCAGCAGCAGCAGCAACAACAGATGCCCAGCCTGTCACAGTCACAAGCACAGCTCTCGAGCTCCCTCTGGCAGCCTGGCAGGGAAACACCTCGTACGTTTATAGATGATCAAAATTCTTCATCTTGCAATCAATCCCAACTGACACCATGACAGAGAACCAAAAGCCTATACCCGAACAGATGGCCCTCATCTTCGAGAAGTGGAACCCTGCGAGCCCCAACTGTGCCTTCAAGCACTACTTTTACAACAAGGTCGACGAAGCCTCCGTCCCCTTTTACAAACCCGGCCCTCACGAGGACCCCAAGGAATGGGAGGAGGCACTGCAGAAGAAGCCCGCGCCTGGCTTTATCCCTGTTCTATGCACGGGGTTCACGGGCGTTGCGGCCCGTCTCCAGACGCAGAAGAAGGTTGTTGGGGAGCTTAATGTGCGCCTGCACCAGATCAACGCCAGCCTGGACGCAATCCTTTCGCGGCACGATCTCGAGACGAGCGTGCGTGCTCTGGCGGCCCGCCGCCGCCACGTAGTGCTCCGCGAGCGGTGCCTTGCGCTCGCCGCCCGCGTGCAGGTGCTGCGCAACCGCGGGTACGCCCTCAGCGGCGACGAGGACGACCTGCGACTCAAGCTGGTGGAGCTGGAGCGCAGTGTACAGGATCCCGCTCTGGCGGCGCGGGAAGAGGAGCTCTGGAGTCGATTGATCGTGCTCCGGGACTATGCGGACCAGCTGATGAAGGAGACGAACAAGCCTGCTTTTGCGAGCGGTGAAGGGTTGAGCGAGGAGACGGAGCACAAGGCGAAGAAGGTGAGTTTCTGTCTTCGACCCGCAAGTTGCCGGGTGAATGACGCTAACTGTTGCAGGTTTTGGAGGACTACGAGAAGCAGATCCAGCACCTCAAGAAGGAGGTCGAGTCGATTACGAAAGACTTTGCGGACTGGGAAAGGGAGAGGAACCCGAGTTGAGCGGTGCCTTTCGGAGTTTAGAACTCCATATGGCTTGTGACAATAGAGGAGAAGCGCGAGCGGACGCTTTTGCAATGTACGGAACGGATTGCGGCGGCATATGCACCCAGTAAAACCATCCGTATTGAATAATACAAAGAAGGGATGAAACAATGATGGAGAGGCCCCTTCATATGTCTCACGTAGGAAGGTAACGTTGAACATGAAAAGTCGTGATGTTTGTCTACCATAATTCCGATGTGATCTATATCCATATCCCATCCGACCAGCCCTCTGTGTACATTGTACAGATGATATTCTACAAAAGGGGTATTTGTCCCATTACACACCCCGTAGGCGGGTAAGATGGCCGCTCAGTACAACACTGGTGCGGCCCTGTTTTGCTGTAGCGTCCAAGACGCAAGTGCTTCGATATGGCTGCGATGCCTAGCCACGAGGGGAGCCTTCTAAGTCGTCGTAGGTAACCCGTTTACAGGAACCTGGAGACGGCGTCGATGGCGAAGGGAGCTGGGCAAAACAACTCTGATTAGCAAACGTTCACGGGGCTTGTTGATTCGTCGGCCGAGCAGATGCGGCCCGAAGGGGTTTTGCGTACAGAGATACAGAAGAATGGAAGAGACCAAGACCTGCTGGACGGTGAAGCTGGCCTCAGACTCCATCTGCTTGATCTCCTCCTCGGAGAGCTGGGGCGGCGCGACTGTAGGGGAGACGGGGGGTTAGCTGCATGGTCCAGGAGGCGTCTGTGGTCTGGTTGACGACTACGTACATCCTCCGAACATCTTGGCTGTTTGCTCTTGAAAGTGTGGCTGGGGTGGTGAGTGGGCGAGGTTGCAGGAAAACGGGTTCGTGAAGTGGTGCAGTGGGTGACAGGTTCAGTGATGATGTCGTCGCAAAAATTTAGAGAAGCTCCAGTCTGTCTAGCTGCTCCTGGCGGCATCCCGGTTGGTACGTACCCAAGCTCACCTCAAGCCTCCGGGCAGAGGTTCCCATGCGTAGTCAGCAAGGTAGGTAAAGTAGCCCCCCCCCCCCCCCCTTGGGGATTAGGTAAGTTTAGGTAGGTTGTAGTCTGGCACATGCGCTATCTATACATCCAGTCCAGCCCTGCCACAAGCATTTTTAGTGCTCGGCTCTTCTGCCGAGTGCTCTCGGCTTCTCATCCGCACTCTCCCCAAAAAACCCAAGCAAACACACTGGAGCCCAGAACCCAGTCGTCTCCCATGCCGCTTTGTCGCTGTCTCATTGGTCAAATAGTCTGCTTTTGGACGTAATCGCGGTGCCCGATTCCAGAGCTCTTTTGAACGCAACCGGGGACCCCAAAGTCAGGTCAGGGGATGGACGGGGAGCATGGAGTACCTGCACACACTCACACATCTAACCTACTACTGCTATACCTATACGGATACATGTGTAATTAGTCGGTGGCGTATCCGTACCCAGAGTAAGCATTAGAGCGGTTACTCTTATCGCCTCAATCCCCGTAGTCGGTGCGCGCTTATCAACGGACCGCCGGATAAGACCCTCTTGGCCAGGCGGTTCGTTTCCCATGCCCCAACCAAAAGGGTCCTTGGGCTCGCTCCGGCATGCTGGGAGCGACTCAACTCGACCCAATTCGACTCGATTTTCGACTCGGGAACCGTATCCATAGGGACGCCATACGTACCTTTACCTGATAAGTGGCCGTACGTACGTACATACCTTAGGTACCTGTGGCGAGGAGGAGTGGCTGCCGGCGCCGGCCCTCACCGACTCCTTCATATTTGAACCGCCCAGCAGGTCTCATTCTTTCCTGTTCTCACTCTCTCTTGCAAGAACACCGTCTGGTCTTTTCTTAGTGTTCCGTTGCGAAGATACCTTCACCAAGTGTTTTGAATCGAGCAAAACGGTTTGCGTGCGAGCGTCTGTTCGCCTTTCATCCCGGGTCGCATCTCGGGTCTACAAGTGGCGACAGGGGTGTTACTGCTTGACCTATAACGATATCGGGCCATCATCCGAGCCAACATTTCTATACCTATACAAACGCACGCACAAGTCTCACAACCGCGCCGTCTCTTCTTTTCTTCTTCCTTCCTCTCCTCTCACACTTGTTGTCTCTTAGGATAGATACACGCACTTGGACCTTGGCGAGTCTCGTGGCATTCTCAACCCCTCCTTGGATTGCCACTCACAATCGTCTATTGTCCCATCATGGCATCGCTGAGATTGCCCTTCCCCCGCCAGCTTCGGCTGGCTGCCCCGAGGTCAAGGGTCCTCGCCCGCCAGACGTCAGTTTCACCGTGGGTTTGCAACTCATGCGCCTCAAGCCCGACGGTGACCTCACGCGTCCCGCCTATGAGGACCTTCAGCGCCATCACATCTCTCCAGAACGCCACGAGTGCAAGGAGCACCTCGGTGGACCCCTCCCTTGAACCTCTCCAGAGGCCCGAGTCGTTCATTCCGCGCCACATTGGCCCCGATGTTCACGATGCCGAGGCCATGCTCAAGGCCCTTGACCCTCCCGCAAAGTCAATTGACGAGTTTATTACCCAGGTCCTCCCTGCGGATATCCTGTCCGAGAGGAAGACCTTCGCCTGGGACACCGAGGGCCCGACGGATGAGAGCAAGATTCTGGCGAGAGCCACGGCCTGGGCCAAGGCCAATGAGGCCGCTCCCAAGCCTTTGATCGGTGCTGGATACAACCCCAGTGTCACGCCCCGTGTTATCCAGACCAACGTCCTCGAGAGCCCCGCTTGGTACACGAGCTACACCCCCTACCAGCCGGAAATCAGCCAGGGACGTCTCGAGTCGCTCCTCAACTACCAGACCATGGTCTCCGACCTGACCGGTCTCCCCATCTCCAATGCTAGTCTGCTGGACGAGGGAACGGCGGCTGCCGAAGCCATGACTCTGTCAATGAACGCTCTGTCTACCTCTCGCGCCAAGAGACCCGGCAAGACTTTCGTCGTTTCTCACCTCGTTCACCCCCAGTCCATTTCCGTTCTCAAGAGCAGAGCCCAGGGATTTGGTATCAAGGTCGAGACCCTCGACATCAGCACTGCTGAGACTCAGGACAAGATCAAGGCCCTGGGGCAGGACCTGGTCGGTGTCATGGTCCAGTACCCCGACACCAGGGGCAAGGTGGAGGACTTCAAGGGTCTCTCCGAGCTCGTTCACTCCCAGGGTGCCCTGCTTAGCGCCGCGACCGACCTCCTGGCGTTGACGGTCCTCACGCCGCCTGGCGAATGGGGTGCCGACATTGCCTTTGGAAGCGCGCAGCGCTTCGGCGTGCCTCTTGGCTTCGGTGGGCCCCACGCGGCCTTCTTCGCCGTCAAAGAGGCCCACAAGCGCCGCATGCCCGGCCGCCTGGTCGGTGTCTCCAAGGACAGGAACGGCAACCGAGCTCTGAGACTGGCTCTGCAGACTCGCGAGCAGCACATTCGCCGTGAGAAGGCCACCAGCAACGTCTGCACCGCGCAGGCTCTTCTGGCCAACATGGCTGCCTTGTTCGCCGTCTATCATGGCCCCGAGGGTCTGAAGGAGATCGCTTCGAGGTTGATCCGTCTTGCTCGTGGCGTCCAGGCTGTTGCCGAGGCCGCCGGCTTGGAGACCGAGCAGAGCGGTGCCAGTCCTGATGGCAAGGTCTTGTTCGACACCGTCGTCATCAAGGCCAGCGGACATTCCCAGAACATCCTGGCCGAGGCCAAGAAGGCTGGACTGGGCTTCCGCGATTTCGGAAACGGTGATATCGGCATCAGTGTCAACGAGACTGTCAACGAGGAGGTGTTCAACACCATTGCTGCCGTTCTCGGCAACGCCACGGGTTCGCAAACCGCTGAGGTCGCAAGCAAGGCCTACAGCTCCCTTACCCAGGACATCACGGAGTTGCTCCCCAAGTCTCTGCGCCGCCAGTCCGCCTACCTCACCCACCCCGTCTTCAACACGCACCGCAGCGAGACGGAGATGCTTCGCTACATCCACCACCTTCAGTCCAAGGACCTGTCCCTCGTCCACTCCATGATCCCCCTCGGATCCTGCACCATGAAGCTTAACAGCGCGACCGAGATGGCCCTGATCTCCCTCCCTGGCTTCTCCACGATTCACCCCCACACTCCCGCGAGCGAGCTCAAGGGCTACACCGCGCTGATCGAGGACTTGTCGGAGCAGCTCAAGGGCATCACCGCCATGGACGCCGTCTCTCTGCAGCCCAACTCGGGTGCGCAGGGTGAGTTCGCCGGTCTGCGCGTCATCCGCAAGTACCTCGAGCAGCAGCCGGGCAAGAAGCGCGACATCTGCCTGATTCCGGTCTCAGCCCACGGAACCAACCCTGCTTCTGCCGCCATGGCGGGCATGCGCGTCGTCCCCATCAAGTGCGATCAGAAGACCGGCAACCTGGACATTGAGGACTTGGAGGCCAAGTGCAAGAAGCACGCCGACGAGCTTGGCGCCTTCATGGTCACTTACCCCAGCACCTACGGAGTCTTCGAGCCCAGCGTCAAGAAGGCGTGCGACCTTGTTCACCAGTACGGAGGCCAGGTCTACATGGACGGCGCCAACATGAACGCTCAGATTGGTATCTGCTCACCCGGCGAGATCGGTGCCGATGTCTGCCATCTTAACCTGCACAAGACTTTCTGCATCCCTCACGGTGGCGGTGGCCCCGGTGTCGGGCCCATCTGCGTCAAGGAGCACCTTGGCCCCTATCTCCCTGGCCGCACGCCCGAGTCCGAGGAGGCCATGGTCGCCAGCGCCCCCTACGGCAGCGCTGGCATCCTGCCCATCAGCTGGGCCTACAACGCCTTGATGGGCAACGAGGGTCTGCGGCTCGCCACCAAGACGGCCATCCTCAACGCGAACTACATCCTCGCCCGCCTCAAGCCGCACTACAAGATCCTCTACACCAACGAGAACGGCCGGTGCGCGCACGAGTTCATCCTCGACGCGCGGCCCTTCAGTGCGACCGCGGGTGTCGAGGCCATCGACATCGCCAAGCGCCTGCAGGACTACGGCTTCCACGCGCCGACCATGAGCTGGCCCGTCTCCAACACGCTCATGATCGAGCCCACGGAGAGCGAGAGCAAGGAGGAGCTCGACCGCTTCATCGACACGCTCATCAGCATCCGTGAAGAGATCCGCGAGATCGAGGAGGGCAAGCAGCCCCGCGAGGGTAACGTCCTCAAGATGGCGCCTCACCCGCAGATGGATGTTATCCTGGGCGATGGCGAGGGCAAGTGGGACCGTCCCTACACCCGCGAGAAGGCGGCATACCCCTTGCCGCACCTGAAGGAGAAGAAGTTCTGGCCCAGCGTGGGTCGCGTTGACGACAGTGAGTTTCTATCCCCGCAGCTTCTACCGGCATCGACGGAATCCTAACAGAGAATAGCATACGGTGACTTGAACCTTTTCTGCACGTGCCCCCCAGTCGAGGACACCACGCAAGAGTGAAACCGTGATTTTGCACCTCATAGACCATGAGACAGACTAGCGGACGACCTTAGAATCATGACTGCACGTCATAAAAAAGAAAACAAAAGAAGCAAGCAACAAGATGTTTGCGAAACCGAGGACGGTTGTCACTCCACTCAGACAACCGCTTGGTTTAATGTTATGAGCTTTTCAACATCTTTCCATCATCTCTTACAGCAAGCGAAGGGGATATGAGTTCCTAGGATTTCAACAGGGAAATGATTACAACACATTATAGATATGTGCACGGCGTGGGCGGCATTCGGGGGTCGGAGAAAGGGGCCAACCGGCGGGAGTTCAACAAAACATAGCCCCGGAAGGTTGTTTATATGTTTGGGATTGTTTTTGCGTTGCCTCTCTCCTAGAGTCTTATGGCGCATCGGATAGAATGCCACTTTTTGTAACTAGGATTTTTTCAAAACAGAGAAAGAAGAAGAAAAAAAATCCATGAATATTTCGAGCTTGGTTATATGCTGTGTGTGCATTTCGACTAATCGTTGTGACTGAAATCAATCGTCGTAAATACATGACTAGTCATGTTGCGGGCTACTTAGGTATTGAACGAGTCCCCGAGCTAGATGGTCTGGTGCTGATTTGTGTGATTAAAAGGATCGTCACATTGAGAAATGTTCGATGTCATTGAACCCGCTATGAGTACCTGTATAATACTAATCTCAGGACTTGTTCTTCCCAAAACTAACTCTCTCTATTTTTTCTTTCTTTCTTCTTCTTCCTTTTATTTTTCTCTCCACTTTTCTCGTTTCGTACAGCTTGATGGGATCTTCAGGCAGATTGCCTTTTGTCCATGGTTCCCTTGTAACTTCGGACGAGATATGTAACATAAAAAAATGGACCGGGGGTTAAAATAGCAACCCTCCGTGAGTCACGACCGGATTGGACGTCGCTGCAGATCGGGTTGCGCTATCCGTAACGGACAGCTAAACCAGCCTGCGGCGCATGACCCCGAGGCTTGAGGATGGGAGAACGGCACCGAGCATGGAGAGGCAGTCAAATAAGATCTGCCCCTCCCTCACGCATGGGTGCACAATCAATGTACGACCAAGTCGAGGGGGGATTCTTCAACAAGCGTCGAAATACGGCATTTGGGGGGATGAGAAATGGCAGAAGTGGATGCTCATTCTCCTGCCCATAGATACCTTCAGGTAGATAGATACTTACATTGTATCTACCAAGTTAGGTACTTACCCAGGGCGTGTGAACTTGCCTCTCTCGCAGGTACCTCCCTAGAGCGGTTGTACGTACCTACCTACCCTCAACGGTCGTACCTACCTACCTGCCTACCAAATAGATAACAGAGATACGGTACTGACCGTACCCCTCATTCCGTGGTGGGGCAGACATATCCCAAATACCGAATGACGGCTCAGCCGCTTTGCAGCAGTGACGTCTCACCCCTCGAAAAGGGACCCCAACTGACCTTTCGAGCATTTCCGACTTTACCGCTGCAAGACAATTAACGGGTCGCTGGTTTCCACCGGCGCCTTTGTCTGCCACACCGCAGGATCAAAAACGTGGGGAGAGCCTCTTTTTTCCCTCTTCTTAAATTCCACTATACGTGTAGAAAACTTCGAACCTCACAAGCCACGCTACATGACTTGACTCGGCCGTGTGTGCGTGTCTAATCTACCCTAGGTATCTACTACCTACCTACCTTGCGTATTCCTACGACACGTATTGCATTCACTCACCCATACACCACACACACAAACCCAAACACATATACCCTCAGCTGCTTGCTTGACCGATCCCTGTCTCTTACTTGGTCCGCTTCATGAGCAGCATCTTCAACCTCCCCGCCGCTAGCCAATACCTGCATAACAATTCCGTGATCCCCGTTTAAAGTCGAGAGACTTCGCGACCGCTGCCAGGTGCACCGGGACACTGACGACGACGACAACAACACCACCACCACCACCACCGCAAGCGTACTAACGCTAGCTTCGAGTATTCCACGGCTTCGGCAGTCTTTGGAGTAACGTTCCCATCATGGTTGCTTCTGAGCTGTCGCAAGCGGCAAGGGCCGAGAAGGCCGATCCCCAGTCGTCGCAGCTGATAGCCCAGCAAGCGGCACCAGAGCCGGCGCCGCCATTGGTGAACCGCGTTGGCCAGAGCAAGAGTCCGTACGTTCGGGGTCATGCCGAGAGCCGTGTCGCCTGGCAGCTGCTCGACGAGGAGGCCATCGAGAGAGCAAGAAAGGAGAACAAGTTGATCTTTCTGCACATTGGCTTCAAGGCCTGCCACTGTAAGCGACCCCAGCCGCCAGGAAACCGCTCGTCCGACGATTGCCCCCCTGACCCTCCTTGCAGATTCGCGACTTACATCCACCGAGTGCTTCACCCACCGAGAATGCGCCGCGATCCTGAACGAGTCCTTCATCCCCGTCATCATTGACCGCGAGGAGCGCCCGGAGCTGGACACGATATATATGAATTACGTGCAGGCCGTGAGCGGCTCGGGCGGCTGGCCTTTGAACCTCTTCCTGACCCCCGAGCTCGAGCCCGTCTTCGGTGGCACCTACTACCCGGCTCCCGGCCCTAACAACGGCGGCTCCGACGACGAGGACCGCCTGGATTTTTTGGCCATCTTGCGCAAGCTGCAGAAGGTTTGGAGGGAGCAGGAGGGCCGGTGCAGGCAGGAGGCCAAGGAGGTTGTGGTTAAGCTCCACGACTTCGCGGCCGAGGGAACCTTGGGGACGGCTACGGTACAGCCGGGCGTCGCTGGCTCCCAGACGATCGCGATCGGTAGGTCCGAGACGGGGTTGGAGCATCCCGGGACGGGCAGGACGGCCGCTGCGGTCTCGAGCGAACTGGATCTGGACCTGTTGGAGGAGGCTTATTCGCACATTGCCGGGACGTTCGACCCCGTCTACGGCGGATTCGGCCTGGCACCCAAGTTCCCGACCCCGCCGAAGTTGTCCTTCCTCTTGCGACTGCCTCGATACCTTGCGCCCGTGCAAGATGTGGTGGGCGAGTCCGAGTGTGCACACGCCACCGAGATGGCCCTCTTCACATTGCGCAAGATTCGCGACAGCAGTCTGCGCGACCACGTCGGAGGTTGTGGGTTTGCGCGGTACTCCGTCACGGCCGACTGGAGCGTCCCGCGCTTCGAGAAGCTTATTGCCCACAACGCGCTGCTGTTGGGCCTGTACCTGGACGCATGGCTGATCGCAACCGGTGGGGAGAAGGGCACGGAGTTCTACGACGTCGTGGTGGAGTTGGTCGATTACCTTTCGAGCCCTCCGATCAGTTTGCCCGAGGGTGGTTTCGTCTCGAGCGAAGCTGCAGACTCATACTACCGGCGCGGGGACAGGCACATGCGAGAGGGGGCCTATAACCTCTGGACACGTAGAGAGTTCGATACCGTGATCGGAGACGATCACGAGGCCGCGCTGGCCGCGTCGTACTGGAACGTCCTCGAGCACGGCAACGTCGAGCCCGACCAGGATCCTAATGACGAGTTCATGAACGAAAACATCTTGCGCGTGGTTAAGGACGTGTCGGAGATTGGACGGCAGGCTGGCATCACCGTTGACGAAGTCAAGCGGGTCATCTCCTCGGCAAAGCAGAAGCTCAAGGTGCACAGAGAAAAGGAGCGCGTGAGACCCGAGGTCGACGCTAAGATTGTGGCGGGACGCAACGGCCTGGTGATTTCCGCCCTGACGAGGGCTGGCCTGGCTTTGGCAACCGTTGATGCGGCCAAGAGCCAAGCGGCTATTGCATCCGCCGGTAGGGCCGCCGAGTTCATTAGGGCCAACCTGTGGGATGAGAAGGAGAGGATCCTGTACAGGATATGGAACGAAGGCCGCGGCGAAGCCAAGGGCCTGGCGGAAGACTACGCCTACCTCATCGAGGGTCTCATTGGCCTTTACGAGGCGACCGCGGATGAGAGGTGGATAGAATTCGCCGATGAGCTGCAGAGTAAGTTTCCTTGTTCGGTAACCCCTGAACCAACTGACGCCGACGCAGAGGTCCAAATCGACACCTTTTACGACAGCCCCTCAGTCGGCACCTCGGTCCTCGAGTCCCCCGCATCCCGCTCTAGCTGTGGCGCATTCTACATTACGGCCGAGAATGCGCCGCACACCATCCTCCGCCTCAAGGACGGCATGGACACGGCGCTCCCGTCGACCAACGCCGTCTCCGTCTCGAACCTCTTCCGCCTCGGCACCATGCTCAGCGATGAGGCCTACACGGCACTTGCGCGCGAGTCCATCAACGCCTTCGAGGCCGAGATCCTGCAGTACCCTTGGCTGTTCCCGGGCCTGCTGTCAGGCGTAGTCACTGCCCGTCTCGGTGGCGCGACGTGGGTCGTCGTGCGTGGCTCTGGCGGCGGCGAGGACGAGCTGACGCAGCAGCTTCTGCGGAAGCTGAGCCTCGAGGCTAGCGGTGGTCTGAGGAATGTGCTCCTGCTCAAGGCCGAGGACGACCTGCTGGCAAAGCGGAGCCCCGCGTTAAGGGAGCTGGTGCAGAGGCCGGGCACGTACCGCCTCGAGAACGGCGTGTACAGGCCCATCACGGCCGCCGATGCGGTGTGAGCATGGACGGTGTCTACGGCGAACGAAGAGGATGTTAAAAAAAAATTGAACATAAAATAAAAACGTGCTCGGCATGGGAATTCGATGAGATGCAAGGCAGGTCATGTGGTGGGGCGGAGTTTTATGGTGGCGCGAGTACCCCAATCTTTAGACACGTTTTTGGTATAAAGTGAGGCCGTAGCTCAATGTCTTACTTCTCATCGAACTTGAAGCTGGTGCTGCCTGCTGCTTCGGTCTCTCGGTATAGGGTGATTCCAGTGTGAGACTGAAGCCATTCATTCGACTCCATCGTAAGCGCGATCCATCCCGACGGTGGACGGGGACAGCCTTCAGCCTCGGAGTTGGGTCGGCAAGTAGGTTGCAGCTTCGTGCAGGAGAGAGAGAGAGAGAGAGAGAGAGAGAGGCCTTCGACGTCAGGCGGACGGACTTTCTTCTTGGCGGCATCTAGTCATCCCGTTCTCTTCCCAGTGCACGGGGATCCGTGTCCAGGACGCCGGTACACCACCCTCCAATGATGCATCCCGCCGCCCGCTCATGCGTGACTGATCTCTCTCGTAACAAAGTGACTCAAGATATCGGTTTTCCGAGGCGCAATCTGCTTCCGCGGGGGGCGGCTTACATCTACGCTGGGTGAGCTGGTGAAGCCTCTCCCCGGCGAGTATTGCTGAGTGGGGTGACTGGGAAGCACACGGATGGACGCAAATAAAAAAAACCTTGGATTGAAAGGACAACACCAAACGCATACCAGTGTCTTGATCGGGGTATCTATTCTACAGCGACTGACGGGCTGACTGACTGCTCGACATGACGAAGCCCGCCCAACCGCCACACATCTCGTCTTTGTAACTTGCCTTCCTCCTTCCAACCCTCCAGCGTCCCGGCAAGTTTTCCAAGATTCTCGCCGCTGCAACCTTCGCGGCCCAGACTTTGCCACATATGGTACACTCTCCTTCATCTTCGTCTTCCAGAATGAACGCCCCCTAGGAATGAGCTGCTATGCCCTCTGGCTCGGTCTGGCTTGGAAGGAAAGTACTCAACCCAGCAAGCAGATGCAGACGTGTTCTATCTCCTCTTTTCCACGACTGGCCGGCGCCCTCAGCCGCGAGGGCTACCATTTGCGGGTTGTTTGCGGTTCATCAAGCCGCTGAAGAAGGCCTGAAGCTTGTCGTTGTCCATTTCATCGGGGTTCTCCTCCGCGGTGTCACCCGGTGGCGTGGTGGGATCCTGTGCAGCAGCACTGTATGCCTGACGGTCCTTTGGTCTCATCTTAGCAAAATGCCGAGTTTCTTCAAGGGAAAGTGGGGGGAGAAAAAAAGGAGCTTACCTTAAGCCGCTGGACCATGTCGTCGGCATCAACCTGGATGCCTCCCATGTTGAACTGCACAGGTCCAATGTGCTGGCTAATCTTGCCGTCCGTTCCCTGCCGCGAAGCATTGGAATCCGACTCGTCAGCACGTTGGCCCGCTCTCGACTTTGAGGCGTCGGACTTCTTGTCCTCAGCGTTCCGGCTGCGGTGGGTTTCCAAAATTTGAAGGCTGGAGCCCAAGAACTCCTGCGCGTCTGTTGACGACATCTCCAGTTGCGAAGGGTCTCCGTCGCGGCCTGCGAAGGATATCGCGCTGCCGGCGTTGCTGAGGTCGCGAATCCAGTCCTCGTATGGCGCCACCGCGGAGGACCATACCTCGCCGTTGTAGTCGCCATCGGCCTTCGCCTTCGTGAGAATATTCAGCCCTTCGGTGGTCATGGCGGGTGAAGGGAAAGTGGATTGCAGGTCATGCGACCAGCCCTGGCTGGTGGTCTCGACATCGAAGCCGTCCCTCAGCACGCGAATCTTGCCCCAGGAGTCCCAGTTTGGCGGGACGAGAATCTTGTCCCTGTCTATCACATTGTGCTTCAGGGGCTGCCGTTTCAGCAAAGATGTAATACCCAAACTCGAGTGCACCAAACTGGCTATGGATGAAGGGACATTCGGGGTAGTATAGATCAGGGATGCGCCATCTGAAAAAGCAATGTTAGTGTTCCTTCACAGCCACAGCAGGGGTCGTACGTACGTCTCAGAAGCACTGTCCGGAGATACTGCAGCACCTGGTCAAAATCACCCTCCTTCCACCCTTGGGTCTTCTCGAAAGCCTCCATTTTCTCCGCCTGCAAAAAGATTTAGTATACGCACACATGTCATTGGCAGCATGTCCTCTCACATTCTGGCAAACCACGCAGAGTGGCAGACCAATACCTTCTTCCCATTCACCGGGTCCAAGAGGGAGGACGACGTCCCCTTCGCTTGCAGCCGCTCCTGTGCCATCCAGATTCGTCGAGCCGCCGCCCCTGCCTCTGTCCCGCCAGCTAACCATCACCTCCTCCATTGTCGCTTGGCACTCGTGGCTGGAGTTTTCGAGAATGCTGCGCATGAACAGAATCCATTCTCTGAGTTGACGCATCCACAAATGCGGCGTGGACCAATCAAGGAGTATGACCATTAGGGTGTTCGGTATCGACTCGGGAGCGATTAGGGGTTGGATAAGTTTCGGGAACGATTCTGCTGGTGTCGACAGCATGTAAAGAGAGATTCGCGCCAGTATGTCTGGCCAAGTCAGTATCAGTCGCCGGGCTAGCTAGCGATTCACACGGACCTTCTTGGTCGGCGTCCAGGACGTCGTAGTAGGTGTATCCTAGAGCGAAGCTGTTGGCGATGGGAGGCGTCTTAGAGCTATGGCGGTCCAGAGTTCGCTTTTCGTTGCTATGGGATAGCGACTCTACAAACTCCCTTTGTGAATCCGGAGACCCTCCCAGCACAATCATATTCTTCTCAGGTAACCGTCTGCCGCTGGCGACGTTGTCCAGCATGGAGCTCCAGAGGTCCTTCTTCTCCTCATTGCGGCTGTCCGACCCTGCCGAAGCCGAGGTATACGTAGACACCCGATTCGCGCTTGCCGTCATGATTGAACTCTTTGGTGAGGACGCATATGGGACTGGCGGGTGGTGGGAGCCGAATGGTATCTTGGTCGGAGGCGGTGGGTGGGTTAACAGTGGACAGCTTTAGGCGAAGACAAATAGACGCGTCGAGTCGCGGTGTAGGCGAGGGGTGGGGTGGCTCACGGTGGTTTCGCAGGCAAAAAGTTTTGAAAATACAGAGAGAGATAAGGGACAAGGCAGGCGAAGACAATATCTCTAGAAGCAGAGGTTTCACCCAGAACTGCCGTCCTGGAACCAACCAGTATGCAATCAATGCCTCTTCAATCGTGCCCCCTTCGCCCAAGTGTCGGGGAATTTAAGCTCCGGACCGGCTGTTTTCCCGGCGATTGGCTGGTGGGTGGTGGGTGCGGTGACATTGCATTACCATTGCAGCACAGTGTGCTACCGAAGCACCAATTTAAGGGTCGGTTTTTTGGGGGGGTGCATTGGGGGGCAGATGACGCACTAACCGTGCTACGCGACCACCTAGGTACCGGTAGTTGACCTTTTTCGTAAAGCTTTGGCAAGCTTCCCTTCTTCAGCCTTGCAGATCTGCAGCTTCTACTCCAGCCTTCCCCACCAAGACTTTCGGCAATTCTCGTCACCAGGAGGAGACGGGGAGCTTGATATAGACCGCCGCAATGAACAAGATCCGCGCCATCCAGGAGCTGAACAGGAAAGAGATCGAAAATGGAATGTAAGCTGCCGGTGCGCCCTCCTCGCCCACTTGCAACCGTGTACTGACAATCGAACAGCTCCCCCGAGGGCTCCTGGCACGTCGACTATCGCGACACTGCCTACATATACTTCGGCGGCCTTCCATACGAGATGTCCGAGGGCGATGTGATCACCGTGTTTTCCCAATTCGGCGAGCCTGTCTGGCTCAAGCTGGCGCGCGACAAGGAGACGGGCAAGTCCAAGGGCTTCGGCTGGCTCAAGTACGAGGACCAGCGCAGTACCGACCTGGCGGTCGACAACCTTGGTGGCGCGACCATAAAGGACCGGCTCATCAGTGTGGACCACGCGCGCTATAAGTTCCACGAAAACGAGGACCCGGATGAGGGCAAGGTGGACTGGGCGACGGTCGCGAAGCTGGAAGGCGGGGACAAGACGGACGAGGAAGAGTCGGAAGAGGAGCAAGAAGCTCGGCCGATGCTTCCTGAAGAGAGAGAGCTTGCTCGTCTGATAAGGGACCATGACGAGGATGACCCCATGAAGGGGTTCTTGATTGAGGAGAAAAAGAAGGAGATCGAGGAGGCGCTGCGGCGGCGGGACGACAAGTCGGACAAGAGAAAGAGACACAAGCATCGGCACAGGTCGCATAGGTCGCGGAGACATGAAAGTGACGAGGAAATGAGGGACGCTGGTCACGAAGAGGACAGGCACCGAAGCAGGAGGTCACGTCGCGACGACACACCAGACGAGAAGGACCGCAGAGACGACGACAGAAGCTCTCGACGACATGGACGGCGGGATGAGTCTCGGGAAAGAGACGCCAAACGGGACGGCAGAGGCCGGGGGGGCAAGGAACGCTCCAGAGAAAGGCGAGATAGGGACACGGGCGAGACCGACGAGAAGAGGCGGGAGCGCCGTCATCGTGACCCTGACGAGTCGGCAGAACGTACCCATAGACGGCACAGGGATCGCGATGATGAGCGGCGACACAGGAGGCGAAGCCGCAGTCGGTCGCCGTGATCTCAAAGATGTTATGATACCTAGTAAAATGAGCGATGCTATCGCTGATACCCCTGAATGCCTGGTCCGTTGGCAACTCCAAATGTAACGCCCATACCGTGATCATATAACTACACGACTCCCAAGAGTCTGTTTGACAAGCAGATGATGTTGCTCATTATGCGCCACCCAAATACCTCTTCCAGCCTTCTCTCACAACGTATCGGCGTCCGTCTTGCCCTGTGGATATTACAAACTTCTCCCACCTGGCGTCCTGTCCGGCGCCAATCACAACCAGACTATCTTCAGTGACCCACCCGATAACGCCCTTTTGAGGTCTTGTCGTTCCGAGCGTCGTCTGGTCTGACAGGGGCAGCCCGCCGATCAAGGGGTCATCGCCAGCCTCGAATGGCGCAGAGGCAAACGAGTATACGTCCGAAAACATGCGCGGCATTAGAGGTATCTTCCCCAAGAAACCCCACCGCCCCTTGCCGTCATCGGCTGGTCGGCCCGCGAGGATACCGGATCCCCCCATCTGCGATGATGTTGGGCTAGCTGGCGCGACCGCGGGCTTCTTGGGATGTGGAACGTCGAACACGTGCAGGGTGGACTTGTCTGATGTGCAAGCCAGCTTCGTGCCTTCGGGGCTGAAGCCGAGAGAGAAGATGGTCGCCGGATCGACGCCGCGTCTTAGCTCGGCCAAGCGGGCACAGTTGCTGGTTGCGAACACTCTGATTAGAGTGCCCATTTCACTTGCTGTAGCCAACAGCTCGCCATCCGGGCTCACTTGTATGGCTCGGAGGGCAGATGAGTGAGCCGGGATAATGCTGACATTCCCAGTACCAAGGTCGACAAGTTGGATCTGGCCTACCGTTCTGCCTGGGAACGCAATCGTCTTGTCCGACATGGCGACAAGACCAAGTGGGTTGTCAGTGGTCTCATACACTGACTGGAGGTCGGGCGGCTTCGCAAAGGAGTAGACGCGGACGCTGTTCTGAAGCGCAACGACGATCCGGTTGCGGCCGATGCGGACGCCGCGCACCGGAGTTAGAGAGGCAATTTCTAATGCAACTCTTCCTTTCATGTCGTCCCAGATGATGGTCTGTATAGATGGGGTGAGTATGAGTCTTATAGGCTGAATTATGTGATACGTACTTTGCTGGTGCTGAACTTGGGTTGCCTGCCGCCACCGACGAGGGCGAGGTAGTTTGTCGTCCCCATCATCTCGACAAGACCGATGCCGGCATTGAAGTCTGGCTCAGAATTTTAGCTTTCTCCCTTTGTCGATAATGAGAGAAGTATGCGCAAACCTCTGGACGCCTTCAGGAGGCACGATTTGGTATGGAAGACTGCGTGTTGTTAGGGACACCTCCCCCCTTTGAGTAGCAAACGACGACTCACTGCATATCCCCGAGTTGAGACCAACAGAGAAGCAGCTAGCATCACTGTTGAACGACGCGGACAACACCACAGTAGAGGGTGCCGTTTCTATGGGCGGGCGGGTATTCATTATGATGGAGATGGCCTTGTGCCTGTAAGTCGCCGTGGCGAGTTGGTGGTGCCGCGGCCTGTATGTGAGGTCTCTCTGCAACAAGGGATGAGCGCTATGAGAATGCAAGCCCGGCGGGCCAAGCCGATGTTCTGCAATTTCTGAAGTTGTCCGTTATGATACCATCGTTTACAAATGCATCTTTTGGGGAGAGAGGTGTCCAGCTGACGGTATTCGTCGACGACGATGGTCTCTTAAACAATGGCAGCGATTGGGTGCGCGGCTTTGGAGTCAGCTGGACGGCCGAGTCAGGAAGCTGCTGGAGTCAAGTAGGTAGCAGTGGAGGTTGGCAGGTGTGCGTGCGTATGGAGTACGTAGTAGCAAACAAATAAACGGCCAAAGTGCTAGTACAAAAAGCCTCAACGAGCAACGTTTTGCAAGGAGGGAGGGAAAAGGGTACCAAGGCGGATGTTTGCCAAAATCGATCTCGAGAATAGGTATGTCTCAGCAGACTCGGCCTGGGACGTTATTGGAATGAGGTACGTATCGCCCGTTTCGTCCGCTCAGCGACTCACGGTAGAAGAGGTACAGGCAGGTTGCACCGTGCTTGCCTGTCTGCCTGCGTACCTACCGTGGTTGAGATGGAGACTCACTGAGGTCTGGGTGCGTTTAGGTAGGACAGCTGCCAGATAAGGGACAACCAACTGTCAGCTACCTCGCTGCCTCCCAGCAAGACGCGAAACATGCATGTTTGGGGCCCTTCACCACGCACGGTGTAGCGCGCCCCAACATGCCACTGCAGACCAACAGTGCCGGCGCCGGGAAGCTTCAGCACTGACCATGTACTAGTCTCGTGACTTATCATCCTCTCTCCTCTCTCGCCGCCAATAATGCCCGAAGATACCCCGCTGTTTGTACCTTTCCGAGAAGGGCTTAGTGCCAATTTGGGGGGAAAGGAGCGTGGGCCGGAGAGTCGCTGGCCCCTGAATTGGGCACGCAGGAGCAAGCAAACAATTGGCTGGGGACTGCTTGGGGACGTCCTGCCGCAACATTTTGTGTGAAATTGCATTTTCCAGCACCTGTCGGTCAAGACCCTCCCGTCCCCTTGAGCACCTGCACTTCCCGTCCGACCCCCCAGGTCCCATTTCAGAACAACGACATTTGGGATCCAACAGTCCTTTTGCTCCGTTCAACCACGACACGAACACGCCGCTCGCTGTCCCTTGAAACGATACCATCACTCTTCTTTTTTCTTCATCAGTCGTTGATTTGTTCGACGACTCCTTTACCGACCCTATTCTAGACTAGGAGTTACTTTCAAACACCGCCGTATGTCCGACCACCGTCTCCCTATTCATCTGTTGCACTATTCCGGCCCCCATGAATGATTCCTTCCTCCGACTCCACGTAGCAGACATGGCTCCAATGCATCTGCATCTCCCAAGATATGCAATCGCTGACTGTTTTCGAACTTGCAGAAGATGATGCGCAGAAAGAAGAACGTGAAGAAGGGAATCCAGTTCTGTTTGATGGTCTGCGGAGCATCTGGTACTGGTACGCCTCCCCCCTACCTGGACAATCTCAGTCTACTCGATCCCGGATTCCTGTCAACTGACACTCGCCCCTACAGGAAGAACTACCTTCGTCAACACTCTTTGCGGAAAGAGTGTTCTCGGCCACAAGGATGCGGATGATGCCGCCGCCGCCTCTGTTGAGGACGGTGTCAAGATCAAGCCCGTCACTGTCGGTACGTGACTACTGCCCCAGAGCATTCGATACCGAAGCAAAATGCTGACAACCTTACAGAGCTAGAGCTTGATGAGGAGGGTACCCGTATTTCCCTGACCATTGTCGACACTCCCGGCTTCGGTGACCAAATCGACAATGAGGCCAGGTATGGCGTCCTGCGAAGACCCCAACACACTCACCGGTACTGACACGTGCGTGCAGCTTCTCCGAGATTGTCGGTTACCTCGAGAGACAATACGACGACATTCTCGCCGAGGAGTCTCGTATCAAGCGTAACCCGCGTTTCAGAGACAACCGTGTTCACGCCATGCTCTACTTTATCACCCCTACCGGTCACGGGTAAGCACACTGTCCGATCCAAGCCAACTTGAACCGCTACTAACACACTTGGAGTCTCCGCGAGCTGGACATTGAGCTCATGAAGCGTCTTGCCCCCCGTGTCAACGTCATTCCTGTTATTGGCCGCGCCGACTCCCTGACCCCGGCCGAGCTCGCTGAGTCGAAGAAGCTTGTGATGGAGGATATCGAGCACTACCGCATCCCCGTCTACAACTTCCCCTACGACATTGAGGAGGACGATGAGGACACCGTCGAAGAAAACGCCGAGCTGCGAGGCTTGATGCCGTTTGCTATTGTCGGTTCCGAGGAGAGCGTCGAGATCGGCGGCCGCACCGTCCGTGCCCGCCAGTATCCCTGGGGTGTCGTCGAAGTCGATAACCCGCGCCACTCCGACTTCCTCGCCATTCGCTCTGCACTCCTCCACAGCCACTTGGCTGATCTGAAGGAGATCACCCACGACTTCCTCTACGAGAACTACCGTACCGAGAAGCTCAGCAAGTCCGTCGAGGGTGGTGCTGGAGTGTATGTTCCCCAACGCCCCCCTACTTCCCGGTCGTATCATGTACTGACAATTATCACAGTGACTCGTCCATGAACCCCGAGGACCTCGCCTCGCAATCTGTGCGCCTCAAGGAGGAACAGCTGCGGCGAGAAGAAGAGAAGCTCCGCGAGATCGAGATCAAGGTCCAGCGCGAGATCAACGAGAAGCGCCAGGAGCTCTTAGCGCGCGAGTCCCAACTCCGCGAGATCGAGGCCCGTATGCAGAGAGAACAGTCTGCAGCAGCCGGCAATCCCGTCGAGACCAACGGCGACCAGGAAGCCAACTAACGCAACATTGCTGGCTGCCCCCGCTTATGGTTACGCCGGAAATGCGACTTTGGTCTTTTTCTATACTGGCGTTGGTTTCCGTGCTGTGTTGAAAGAGAAACAACATTATTCCCCTATGCGAGTTCGTTTCTTTTGACACGAAGTTAAAACCCCAAAAAGGTCTACTACGATTGCGACGACTGGGAGAGGCTCATCGGGTTGGCAGGGTGTGGGAAGAGGCGGTCTATGATCTTGGGGAGGTGGCTCGAGAGGCTTCTGGGCGAAGTCGAGGGGCATACCAGGGGCATGGGACTGGCGAACCGCAAACTGCTCATCGATCTGTTTCTTTTATCCCTACCAACCCGCCCCCCGTATCTTTCCAGCTGTGCCTTTTGTAGCCCTTTCACTCGCGCCCCACCCCCATTTCCTTTTCTACTAGTGGACTTCTAATGCTGATATCAAAATTACTTTACCGCTTCTCCAATTCAACACGTTTTCACATCACAAATGTCCAATCTGTAATGAAACACCGAATATAAATGTGATTAAATAAGTTTACTATAAAGAGAGACTGCACTGCAAACGGAGGGCAACGAATGTAGGCGAAAACCCCTGAGTCCGGTTTCATATCCCCAAGGTTTTAATTCCATACAACAAAACAACCACAACGTATCCTGGCCAATTTCTGTTGATAAAACCTAATGTCAAACCACACTAGCTACCTGCTGGCAGAGTTGATACGATTTGTTATTCTTAGGGAATAGAATTAGCGGCAAGCAGTTTAGTTGCTCTCTTGGCTGTTCAGGATGCGCAGAATGGCCAAGAACAGGTTGATGATGTCAAGGTACAGACTGATGGAGGCCGCAATCTCCTCCTCGACATGGTGGTGGCGCATGATGAGCTGGGTGTCGACAAGAATGTAGGCGCTGAAGATGAGTGCGGCGATGCCACCGTAGACGAGCTCGCCGGTGGAGCTGCTAGGGAAGAACATGTACATGAAACTGAAGATAACAAGAGCCCAGAGGGCGCCGCCGAGGTAAGGGACCCAGGAGGTGAAGTCATACTTGGTCTGGCAGGCGAAAGCGGTAAGGAAGATAAAGATGCCCGCAGTGAGGAAGAGGGCATTGAGGACGAGGCCGACTTTGTAGAAGGAGACGATGACGGAGATGGAGTAGGCCTCCATGAGTGTGAAGGCCGAAAGGAAAAGGAGGTTAGTCGGGTACGACTTGCGCTTCCAGAAGGTGAGGAGCATCATGACCATGGCACCGAGAAGCTACGGAGGGGTTAAGTCAGTGTACAGTCCAGTCAAGTCGAGGTTGCAATTTGGGAAAGCGGAGTTTGGAATGAACGTACGGAGCCGAAGACCAAGCCCGGGTGGGCCTGGATCCAGGCCTTGTAGCCATCGTTGAGGAAGCTGATGGTGGAGACGCCGCCGGTGACAAGTAACTGGACGGTAAGGATCGCGTAGACCTTGCGGATGAACTGGTTGCGGATGTCGATCGTGGCCTCTGCTACTGAGCCGCCGTACTGTGAGAGCTAGGGTTAGTGATGGTATTCAACAACGCGAGCTTGCGACAAGACGCGCGAGTGACAAAATGGGCGGTTGGAATGCAGGAGACGCACCTTGAAGTCATCCGGGATGTCGTCCTCGCTGCGGCGAGGGGAACCGCCGCCAAAGAGACGATCCGTGTCGGAGGCGGCGCTGGCTTCGGCTTGGTAGGCGGGGGGTGCCTGCGTGTAGCGCGAAGCTTCGTCAGGGTCCTGAGTCGGCGCTGGGACGTACTTTGTGGTTGAAGCCATCGTTGCTTTTGCCTAATTGTTGACGATCGTTCGCGGGGTACGAGCAGGATTCTGTCAGTTGTAGTGGACGAGCTACTGTTTTGTGGATGCTGGCGTCGGGTGATTTGAGACGAACGCTTAGGAAATTGTTGGATGCCTGTGGACAGTTAAAGGAAGCGCCGGAGTAAGTGGTGTCGTCAAGACGGGATCATGTGGGGTGGCGGCTGCTGCGAAGGTCACTGCTTACCTAGGAACCATAAGTCCTGCATATGTATGTGGCTGGCACTTGCAAGTCTGGGGTAACGTGTGGCGTCGGTGGGGTCATGTGATTATGAGGAGAATCCACGGGCGACATCTTCCAGATTCTGTTCGCTTTAACACATGAAACTTATAGAGGACTATCTCATGCATATATCAGAGCTTCTTCTTCTAAATAGAAATAGGGCCAACACGGGATATTGAAGCCAGCACCTTCCTGGCTACCTACTTGACCATTGTTCCTGGATGGACTTGGCAGCAAGGGCAAACCACTAATGACGGGCCACCAGGGTATCCGTAGTGTACTTTGTTGATCTCTCCCTGAATCGTTTGCCCGCAGTATGCGCTAGACAAATGCGTGGTCTGATGTTGATAACTTTTCTATAGCTCTTGCGCCATCACCGCGGCAATGTACCTACACGTGCTACACTACAGATACAGCACACTGGAAGTGGCGGTCTCGACAAGGTGATGCCGACGCCCACCGCTTGAGAGTGGATGGGATGAAACGCGGAGCGTCAAACTGAGATGTTGGATACCAAGATATCAGGGCTGTATTTTTCGAGATGGCAGCACGGAACGACGGGTAGACAATGCATCCACGGACGGAAGTAAGAGCGAGCGTTTCCCGTGAAGTTAAAGTCTGACCGTATTCGTCTGTTGAAGTGGGATACGTTTGGTCTGTGGCATAGGAGGCTGCACCGTCCTGTCATGGATCGCGGGGTCTTTGGCGGGCAGCCAGGTTTCTTCAAGGATTGACACATTCTACGATTTATGTACGGATATGCATGCAGTAGAAATCCGGGTTACTCGAGTCCAGGACGAGAGGTAAGCGGCCACACCTTGGCGACGGCCTCGTTCTTGTTGCGAGAGATGGCAATTGGCTGCCGTATGTCTCCATCATGGGGGGTTTGTGTTAAAGGAGCTCAGGGTGTGTGGGGTGACCTAGCCCCCCGTCAAGTACGGGTCGGACTTTCTAGTCTACTGCGTAGGCTTGGGGAGTGCGTCAAGGGACAAGGCGGTGTCAAAGGAGGGGAAGACATTTGTTGATACTGGACGGAAAAGGATATTTGTTGTTCTTACTGGTCACACAGGTGGACGAGAAATAGGGGTACAAGATAAAGGTCCGAGAGCTGTAAGAGACAGCAGCGGAGCGCTAGAAGAGGAAAAAGAAGGTCGGAGTACCTAAGGTAGTGTGTTTTCACACTACAGAGACAGTAAACAAGGATGAAGAAATAAAATAAAAACCTGATGACATGATTGACAGGGGCACTATACAGTGTATATCAAACGTTGGATAAGAGGTTGGGGTGGGCAAATCACTCATTTTGAGATGAAGACCATCCTCGGCGCTCATCCAGAGACGAAGGAACCAACCTCACAAAGATGAGAAGAGCGGCGAAGAACCCGAGGCATCCAATTGGAATAGTGGCACAACAAACAGTGTTGAAACTTGTTGAGAGTGGGATAGACCCCCCTCCTTCTCTCTGTCTCTCTCTTTATCTCTTTGTCGTCTCGCTTTCTCCATCTTCAGTCCATCCCCGCGCCCGTGCAGTCTCGCTTTTGGAATTGGGTTGGCCCACCTCCCAATCGAGTTTTCCGTCGAGATAGACTTCATGCATCAATATTGTTGAATGGACATTTGCGCGGATAATCAGTCCATGGGTAGTTGGTTCCATCAGTCTCTGCTAGGGAGCGTAAAGTGAAGGTACCATACCTAGGCAATTGGTTTTCACAATTAAAGCTCCGTCCAATTGCATCTGCAGCTAGCCCCGAATGGGATAAGGGGTCCCCACCCCCTTGAGCGCCTTTCTCCTGCCGTAGGTACCTAAGGTAGTTCGGGCTGATCAGGGGAATGATGAATTCCCGTGCTTCTATTGGTAGAATCTCCTACCCACCCCCCACATCCCTTTTCCATGCCCAGCATCCCTATTTTTTCTCGTAGTTACATAGTAGACAGGCAGAGTCGTAACGGCAGTGTCCTTCACCGCCTTTGATGAGCCTTGGAGTGCCGCTTCTAGGAGCAGTGGCTGGCAAACCCGTGGGAGCCAGACCGCTTGCAAGAGCCTGCTAACGTCTTCTCAGCCTGCCCCTGGTGCCGGTTGAAGGTGTAATCTTGAGATCAGTTGTCCCCTCCTCTCTTTGTTCGTACCCTCCTTTCCCCTGGACAAGTGGCTCCAGCTTGGCACTGCTCCGGTTGACCTCTTCCTCCCGGGGGGGTCGTGGACAAGGGCAAGGCAAGGGGGAAGTGGAGTTTCTTTTTTTTCTTTTTTTTTTTCCTCTCTTCCCGACGAACTGGACTTTCTCAATTTTGCATGGAAAGGAGAGAGCTTCATCGGTACCTGGTACTTTCTCCCTCTGTTTATACGGTTCCATTTACTGCTACTTTCTGGTTTAGCCCCACAATGGAGAAAGCCTCCAGATGCTAAAGACAGCAATATCAAACAAGTACCTGGAACTTCCAAGGTCCCCCCCAGCCAACTGTCGCTCTTCTCCATCTTCCTCTTCGCTTCCGAATACGTGTAAACTACAGAGCACTTTCGCACTCTTCCTTGCCCTCCTCTCCCACCTCAGTCTGACATACCTACAGCGCTCCCCGTCCCGCTCTCTCCACTTCAGATGCTGCCCACCCTGAGCACGCACAGGTACCATCACTGAGTATTCGTCTGTACTCGTACGGATACCTACGTTGAAGAGACCAGAAGGAAGCAACGCCGTAGCCCACCACACCATACCACGCACCACACACCACTCCTGATCCCAGCAGCTTCTGGGAGGCCAACAGAGCAGAACCTGTAGTCGGGCTTTACCTTGGGGTCCCAGTGTGTACCGCAGTACCGCCGCCCCTCTGAACTCTCCAGCCAGTCCTGCTATCGCTATTGTCCACGGTTCCGTTCTCGGTGTCCATCGCCCTTCCATCTCCGTCCTCTAGATCTTCAACCTCCCTAAAACCACCCAACACGTTCGTTTCTCCCCTCCCCTTCCTCCCTCCCTCCCCGCTCGACCACGAACCAAGAAGCGCCAGTGACGACCTCTCGCGCTTTGCGGAACCAAGACCTGTCAACGTCTTGCGCGCTCTCCCACCGCGCTTTGCCAGGCACGCCCACACAAGGTTTGGGACACGACTGGCCCCGGGCGAAACCCTACGCCAACCCACGACCTAGCCGTCGCCAAGCATCGCGCTTTGCCTCACCACTTGGATCGCAAGTCGGCGCCCTTCCCAGTGCCTCAATTGAGTTCCAATTGAAGCTCGGCCGCCCAACATGAGCGACACCGCCAGCAATGAGGCCTCGTCGCCAACGTTTGAGAAGCCCCTCTCGAGCCCAATCCACCAGATCCAACGCAACGCCAGCACCAAGCAGCTGAAGCTTATGAACGGTCCCCTTTACCAGCAAGGCCACAACAATGTCAATGTCGTGCTTATCCGAAGGGTCAGAAGGACAGACGACAGCGCCTGGAAGATGTTGAGCCGTTGGATGGTCGAGAACCAAATCGGTACGTTGTCTCCTGGGCTTCCTGGCTACTCTCCCACTCCTCGCAGCATTGCACATCGTTCGCATACCCAATCCGCAACCAAGCTAACATGCACCCTTTCCAGGTCTCTCCTTCAATCTCCTTGCCCTCCTCTTCCTTGCCCACTTCTTCATCCCGAAGGCGCAGCCTCACACGGTCAAGTTCTTCACCCTGTCATACTATAACCAGCAAACCGGCTTGTATGGCGCCGGCCTTGGCGACTCCTGCCTCCTCGCCTTCTGCATCGTCCTGTTTACTGGCCTCCGCGCTGCGACCATGGAATACGTGATGGCGCCCTTAGCCAAGGGATGGGGCATTAAGAAACGAAAGGACCTCACTCGCTTCAGTGAACAGGCATGGCTGTTGGTTTACTACATGGTTTTCTGGCCTTTGGGTATGGTAAGTTAGCATTGGCGACCTAGACAACATTATCGCGACAGTCGCTGACTCGTCGCTTAGTACATCTACAAGACATCTCCCTACTGGCTGAACCTCAGGGAGCTGTGGACGAACTGGCCCCAGCGCGAGCTTTCCGGCCTCAACAAGTTCTACATCCTGGCGCAATGGGCTTTCTGGCTGCAGCAGATTCTCGTTATCAACATTGAGGAGCGTCGCAAGGATCACTGGCAGATGTTCACCCACCACATCATCACTTGCACCCTGATTTCCGCCTGCTACAGCTACCACCAGACTCGTGTCGGAAACCTAATCCTTGTTCTCATGGATGTCGTCGACCTCTTCTTCCCTGTGCGTTACGTTAGTCCGACTTTCTTGTTCTATCTGCTAACTATTCGCAGCTCGCCAAGTGCCTCAAGTACGTTGGGCTCAACACCCTTTGCGATTTTATGTTTGGCGCCTTCGTTCTGTCGTGGCTGCTTGCCCGTCACGTCTTCTACATGATGGTGTGCTGGTCGATTTACACCCACATTCCCGAAGAAATCCCCGATTCCTGCTACACAGGCCAACACCCCAACCTCGATGGACCGCTGCCCATGCCTGAAGGCAAGGGCTGGATGCTTACGCCTTTCTACAAGACAGATGGCATTGTTTGCTGGAACTCTACTATCCGCTGGTCGTTCCTTTCCACTCTCCTTGTCTTGCAGGTCATTACCATTGGGTGGTTTTTTATGATTCTGCGTGTTGTCATGAAGGTCCTTCGTGGTGGAAACGCCGAGGACACCCGCAGTGACGACGAAGGCGAGTGCGAAGAGGAGGAGGAGGGTTATGTCTACGAGGAGGCCCAGGCTCTCGAGGAGGAGGTTGGCGTTGAGGACATTGACCTCAAGAGCTGGGAGCGGAGAACGGGTATCAAGAGGCAAGCGAGCGCGTCTGGCGTTAGCCTACCGGGCCACAGCGACCGCAAGGAGCTGCTTGGTAGAATCGGCTGCGAGAAGCAGGTTGACTAAATCTGACGAATGGAAGCCACCCAGCGAAGCAACGAAACGTTCTTGGTGGACAGAAGTCCAGTGTATACCACCGGTTGATGTATAGGGGAACGGAAGAGGAGTTAACAAAACGTGTCGTCGTGGTCGGGAAATGACTGCGGCGCCACATACTCACGTACTTTGCTAGAGCATAGTGCGCGCCTGGATGGCAGGCACTCACAGGCATAGATGACATTTGACTTTGCGAGAAGAAAAGAGGAAACCGGGGGGAACGAAGTGGGCCAGAGAAACTTACATCTCGTCTTTCGATTTCTTACCGAGTTGGGCTTATTTAAGAAATGAATCAAAAGTATTCCGGGTTGGTGATGAAAACGCCTAGTTAATTTGGACCGAGCTTATCTGCGTATGGCCGGGGTTGAGGGCAGAGTTGCCGCAATGGTTTGTGAAGCGTACGGATCCGGTCAGAGTCGGGGGCCGATCAGCGAAGTGGGGGCTCGGGACCGGAGGCACCGTGCCAACGTTCTCGAAACTCGGTTCCGACATTCATCGTACCCCTCGGTACACGCCGGCATAGTGCCAGTTATGCCCACTTGTCCGAGAAAGTAGGAGAAGGGTTGAGAAGAGTCGGCGCCTTTGGATGTGGCTCGCCACGGTGATATGTTCAGAAGGAACAACACAGAAGGCTATGAACCCATTGTTTTGGTCTGGAGGGTTTGATTCCTCCAGTACGATTTCCAACGTTTCTCGCAGCGGGCAGAAATACCAGCAAGGTTCCTCTTCTGTTGTACCTGAATCATAGGAAGCGGAGCATTTCCACATACATGTTTGGGGGGCAATTAGAATTGTCGCCGATTGCCGATTGGTTATCGCTGACGCGTACGTTAAATGATATCAGTTTATTGTGACTGCAGTCAAGGACTAACAACATAAGACGAGATGCGTAGTATGCCTTCCAACGAAATGCCATATGTCTTCTCTCAACGGCTTGTGTCTTGATGGCACAAGGCTTTTTAATCCGAAGAGCAAGAATCTCCTTTCACTAGGATGTAACTGAGTTCGGTGCCGGAGTGGCATTGGTGGTGGCTGGACCAAAATTGTCGTCCTCAGCTGGTTCTTGAGGGGGCCACGGTACCTGCCTTCAATGGCTTTCTGCCAGTCAGGTCACATCTTCAAAGCCAACGTCGGTCAAGAGGGGTTTCAGCTCGGGGCCAGGAAGAAAACTGCGCCTAAACTTCTCCATAGCTTCCCGAATCAGTTTACCGAACTCGGCCAGCGGGTGCTCGGAAGTCAGTCTGCTGTCATCGGACACGAAGGTGAAATCGTTGATATCCTGTATCTCGAAATAGCCACCGGGGACGAGGTTGCTAAATTCATGGGCATGTTAGCTTCTTATTCTGATAGGGGGCTAATGTTCGGATAAGATCCCGAGATCCTTCTATTCGTATCAAGAACCAGCTCACTCGTAGGCCTTGGTGACAAGCTCCTTCCAATTGGCAAGAGATCCACTCGTGAACCGAAGCTGAATGTAAGCGACTGGTCGCAAGTAGAGCTAGTCTTCTTCGGTGTCATCAACTTCGAATTCAACGTTTGGCGACACACTAAAATCACTCCGTTAGTATATGAACGGGTATTAACTGTTTGACTACAAACATAAGTCAAAAGTATATACTATTGAGGTTGAATTGGAGACAGATCCACACCCACCCCCTATTTGAACTTCCCGATTACCAGATGCTCACGCGTATAGGTCTCTGGGGGAAGCCCTCCTTTGGGAACTCACCTCAGCTTCGGAATGCTGATCAGCGTAGTCAATGGCCCACAGACCGGTTCCGGCATCGATTTCGAGGATCTGATTGACCTTAGGATCGTCGTTACAGGGCGGGGCGAGTCTCAATTTGTCGCGGAACGTGACAATGCAGATCTCGTCCTGCATACCCGACGTTACAGTTAGCACAATGAGCACATTTATCAAGGTCGCAGTAAGTGATACTTAGTCTTTCATTGTCTCTCTCATCATTGGACCAGGCATATTCTGAAGTGGCTTGTTAGAAAGTCTTTACAGTAAGGGATCCCATACGATGAGGGTTCTCTTACTGCCATCCTTATACTTATGGTAGGACCTGCTGTCATATTCTCAGCCCAGCCCCTGCGATGGACACATCGTCTACCTCTAGAGCCTTCGTTCGGAAACTACCGGCGTCAAAAGTTCTATTCAAGAGCACAGGATAGAAAACGGCCCACACTCAGCTCAAGGTCCGCCTCGCTATCAGTCGCCTGGTAGTACGATTAGCATTCCTTCCGACCAAACACTCATTATTTCTGCATAGTGTGTACTTCGTCGTCGGCGACAAGAATGTCGGGGTGCTGAAATTGCGTATTGGCCATGACTACAGCTTACTGATGAGCAAATTTGGACGTGAACTTGAACCTCTGAATTTCAGGGAATCCAAAGAACCCACGACCAGGAGGAAAATCAGGTGCTTTTAATGGTGGAGGGGCAGATCAATCAACCCCTCTTTCTCAATCCAGCATAGCTACGCCAACGGGAACCAACGAAGGAGCAAATATGCAGGATGATATGCATGCGACCAAGCTGCTCGTTGAAGAAAACAGATGTGGGACCGAATAGAATGACGACACGCGAACCCCAGAGGAGCAAGAACAACCCTGGGAACCAAGCGAGCATAACCGCAAGTAGTCTTTGAAAAGACCAAGACTACACACATGAATATCATATTTGATCACGCCTAGATTGTGTTAACCTTTCCCATTCTACAAGGACTGGCCATGGGATCGTTTGGTTTGTCACCAAGGGCAACGTGGGAGCATATGTTTGCCACCTAATCATGCATTTGACCTCATATCTCAGTGACCAAGGCTTCTGGGCTGCTTTCTGATCCGGGAGCATGCCTGGAGGCTTGGCGCAACTGACAAGAGGCTCATTCATGTCCACCGACCACAAAGGTACTTGATACTTGCCTGTGAGTTAAAACTCAATGTTTTCTATTAATCGTTGGCCTGAAAATTGCTCACTGGGAGAACCGCTTGACTCTGCCCTTACTTTATATCTAGATAAAGCAGCCTGGCTTCTTTTCCCTCTTTCCTATTTTTTTGTCAGAAAGACACAGCTCCACTGGAGATTTGAATAAAACATCGGAATGTCACTTTTTGAAATTTGCGAGCTAGATAATACATCTTGGTATATGTAGATTAAGTTGGCCCACTGTGATTGGCAATCGGTTCTGTCTTGAATTGACTTTCTCTGGTCCCAGAGTTACTTCTAGTCGAAATAATACACTCTGACTTGGTATCCGTTTGAAGTCGAATTATCTCAGTTTGGCCGTGGAGCCTCGGAATTAACCCGAAGTGTCTGATAGCCAAAGCATTGTGTATGAAGCCACCAATATTGTGAGTGCTGCTGCGTCTTAATGGGCCTTGTCATTGTGCGCTGCCGCAAGCCGAGACGAGCATTGCGGGTCAAACCAATGACTAGCTTTGCGGACAGCTGTATATCTAGGGTAACGACATGATGGGTTCCTCCGGTGAGAGCGAGACGGCCGCCGTTACAGCCATATTCGCTAAATAAGGCGTCTGTAGAGCTGGTAGTGAGGACGATTAATAGGCGCGTGGAACTAAAATTCAATCACATACTTGCTGCTCAGGATAAGGGTAGGTCTCCTATAGTATTTTCTAGAGATGAATTGGGAGTGGAGAATGGTGGCTCGGTCAACCTCTACAACCAGATTCACGCGTCCGCAAGCCCTCTACGTGTAAAATCAATGGAAAGGGACGACCAAGGGCCATATTCAAATTCAAACAATAATCAACTATTTTTGGTCATATTTTATAACAAAATCATCTCATCATTATGTTTTTACTCTCTCTCCCGAACGTGAGCTCCAGCCTTCTCAGCAGGGATATCTGGTCCCGGACCTTGTAGATGCGTCAATGCCGCTTTCTGGACCCCTTGGTTACCCCCTTCGAGCCCGTTCGTGCCGTTCGGGCCGTTCTCTGGACCATCCCGCTGTCCGCAGCACGGGACGATGACGCTCTCCTTGTTCTTACTGCCCGGCATGTCGAGCGCCGGGTTTGCGGTGAAGAAGTCGGCGGGACGGATGTTCATGTGATGAATCTCGACTGGCCTTGTTTCGAAATCCGGGTTAGTAACTTAGTCAACGCTCTAAAGAATGGGCTGAGGTCGGTGAAGGAGGGTGTCAGGTGGGAAAAAGGAGGAAACGGGATGCCAAAAGACTCACATCACAGGCCAATCTTCAACGCGTGGGTTATGCGTCAACCCAAAGACGCTCCAAATCACGGGGCTGCTCTTCCTCCCCTCGTCCGAGCCCGTGTTCCCATTGCCACTCGCTCCATCACCGTCAACGAACCAATCTCCCCTGGCGACCATATCCCACACCCCGCCGATCTCCTCTGTGCTCTGGTTCGTGTACTCTCCCGCGGCCCAGAACTCGTCGTCTCGGTACCCGGTGACCCAGACGTGGTGCCTCGCGAACTTGGCCCTCTTGGACACCTGGCTCTCCTCGTCCGCCAATATCAGCTGGGACGCTGACGGCGTGAGCTTGAAGCCGACGTTACGCCCGGACACCGGGTTTCTCTTTGTCGTGTTCTCGAGCTTGACCACCCGGTTCAGCCGCGGCTCCGCGTCGATCCAACCCGCCCTGCCCACCACGCGCTTCCTGATCTCGTAGTAGTTCCCATGTGGGTTCGTCGCCGCGTTCATCGGGACCGGCACGCTCTCCTCTACCACGACCCGCGTGTCGCTCTCCCCGTACGAGTCAACGGCCGGGTCGATCCTCACGGCGAAGATGTGCTGGTGGTTCTGCGCCAGCACGCCGGGGGCCACGACGGCGCCGTACGGGGACTCGGTCTTGCCCTCATCTATGGCCACAACGCTCATGATGCCCGTGGCCCGCGTCTCGAGCGTGATGCCGCCAGCCGTGTCGATCTTGTACGCGAATACGTACTCGTAGTTGGCCAGCGTGACGACGCACTGCACGACGAACTCGCGTAGCCGGGTGACGACGGCGCGGTTCGTCCGGAAGTTGGTGTGCTTCCACCCGATGCCGTTGTCCTGCTCGTGGAGACATACCACCGCGTTGGCCAGAGTCGGGTTACCGTCCGTGTCTGTCAGCAGCGCGTCGAGGTAGTGGATCGCGCCAAGGCAGTCGCACCCGAGCTCGAGGTTGTTGGCGACCCGCCCGAACCCGCCGTCACCCAAGTCGAAGGCCTGCTTGCGTTGGAACGGCGGGCGCGGGTCGCTGTACGGCACCGTCAGCTCGCTGTAGCTCAAGCGGTAGAGCACGGGGCGGCCGTCGTAGCAGAGGTCATGGAGGACGGCACCCTCGCGCGGGGTAAAGCCGAGGCGGAACCGCCACTTTTGCCACTCGACGAGGTTGTCGGCATGTATCCTGAAGGAGGCGCCCTCGGGCTGGGTGATGTTGATGGGTTTCAGGTCCGCGCGCTGCGGGATGTCGAGAAGCTCGGGAACGTATTCGGCGGAGGAAGACTGGGTGTTGGTGAAGAGGGGCTTCGGTTTGGATGATGGCGGGTGGGGGTCGAGGCCATCGTCTGCGCCGCCCGTGGCGAGGCGGTCGACGCGGACGATCTCCTTGGTGACGAAGTTCATGACGGGGATAATGGGGATCGGGTAGCCGTAGTGGTTTGAATCGAGATTGCCTTTGGAGACGTCCCGCGCAAAGACAAGGCCTTGCATGTAGCGGGGAATGTCCTCCTCGCCTTCGTCAGGACCTCCGTACGGCCAAGGGTCTATCGTGACTGTGAAGTTCTCCGGGAGCGAGAACTCGGCCATGGCATCTTTGAAGAGCTGGGACGCCAAGCAGTTGTCTTGGAAAAGCGCGAATTCGTCACTTTGTTGAATCAGTTCAAAATACGATCAGACGAGTTGGAAGACAAGACTCACGGAAGGTAGGCGGTCTGACTGCGTGGCTTCGCGACAGTCCTCTCGACTTCCTTCTTTGACTTCAAATCCACGACGGACTGGGTGTACTCGGGTATACTGCCAGGCTTGATGACATCGTATTGAAGCCTCGCCCGGCGCGGGGGCCGGGGCGTTTCGTCCGTGACAACACGAGCATGCTCTGCTTGGAGGAATGGTACCAACTCAGCTTTCTTGGGTTCCTGCAGGAAGATTGCTCGGAAGAAGAGAGAACAATCTGAGGCATAGAGGCGGGTCACAATGTCCCGCGCTCCAATGAACTCGTCCTTGGACAAGGCTGTCAAAGGGTGAGAGACCATTTTGCATTAGACAAACTCTTGTTTACGAATCGATGTGATCAAGTGTAAAGAGCCAGACGGAGACACCGGCGGTCGTTATCCTTCTTATATACCTTCTAACGGTGACTGAGATGCGACGCGGGGGATACTGTAGTAGTCCAATGGGCAGAGCCGATGATTCTAGTTACGGATTCGATACTGGTTAACAAATGCCGCGACAGGTGATTAAATACATGCAACTCGTTGCGCTGTTCAACCCAGACTGGGCGGTGAATGTTGATATTCCCCTGACGGACTGCCACTTCACATGGCTATCATCTCGCAACGGCGGGGTAGAGGTTAGCTGAGATATCGAACCCAAATGGAGGGGTACACACCAAACTGTCCAATCCAACGGTCATCACTCGTACTATTTTCTCTCCGAATAATTGGAGATCTCGCCCCCCCCCCCCTTGGGAATCTGGATGATGTACTGCCGCATGCGGCAAGTCCATGCGGTCCAGGACCACTACTGGCCGCGGCCACTATCGGTGCCCAGTCGGCCATCTGTCTTCTCGCAGGCTCGGCGCGTGACGGGGTTGCTCTCTGGCTTGGAGAGAGCGCAAGCTTTCGCAAACCGATTTTGGCCAAACCAAAAAACTTTGGTGTTGAGCATGCGTGTGATGAAGGTCCATGCCAGGATAGGTATTCGATTGGGGATTAAGGTCTGGTAGTGGAGCCGTGCGTTAGATCTTAAAAGGTTGATCTACCCAAGAACGATTTCGATAAGATTAAGCTCTTTTCCGATGACAGCTGATTCATCTGATCTCAGTCGATAGACAAGTTGTAAGTTTGCCTGCTCCTTAGTGAGGGCATGGAACGGATCCGCTGGCGTTGCACGCACGCTCACTCGACCGGGCTTACACGCGAGCACCGTAAGTTTCATGCCCAGCCGGAGCCCGAAATGATGCAGAACGAACACAATGGCACATAGTCGGCTAGTCAGGCGGGAGGTCTTCCGCAAGTGACACATTTCGGCACCTGAGATCCAAGAAATTCTCAGAACGGCTCAACAGTGGTGTGACCACCAGAGACAAGTTCTGACACCCTAGAACTGATTGATGTGCACCAGATAGGCCCGCGGCAACCGAGGTCGAGATGAGCCGCTTGATGAAGTACAGATACGGCCAACAAAGGTTCGGCTTCTTGCATGACTTTCACCTTCAGTGTGTTTGAGAGTAATGCCAGGGACGCAGACGATTATGGGCTTCTGGGTGGTCCTCACGTCCTGTAGCATGGAAACGGCCAAGGCATCGACCAAGTTGCGGCCGTTGATCATCGAGGAAACGAGCATTGGCAGGGGGACCGTGCTTCATCATCGGTAGCCCAGCAAATAAACTTTGGCGACCTCATGGTCGGGTGAGCCGGTGGGGGTTGCAAAATGCTGAGGGTACACGGAGGAAGGTGATGCGCCTTTGGTCGAAGGGATCATCTCGACCAAGAGCCAAGTGGTTTGACGGATGCGCAATGCTGCTGCCCGACAAATTTTGTCGTCACTCACGAGTAGGCTTGGAGTCGTTGGTTGATTGTCCATGTGGTTGATGTCAGAGGTTAGGAAACGGCAGAAACGGCCGAGAGCAAGCCTTTCGTGCTCTGGAGATACACTGGAGATCGGGTAGGTAGAGCAGTGGCTTGTGTGGAAAGCGTGGCATTAAAACTCTCCCACGAGGTGTGCGGGCCCGGCGATTGTCTCGACCTTTAGATAGGTATCGGACGACTAACGGGTGGAGGGAAAGCTCGGCCCCAAACACGGGTAGGTATGTACGCAGGGCTGATACCATCTTGGCCTGAAGACTTCTCTGCATCAAGACGGGGGGTTAAAGTTACGCAACGGTATCAAGACGGCAGTTGAGAAGACAAGAAACAAGAAGAAGAACATATGACAAAAAGTATCCGTAAGACGAAAAGACAAAGAATGAGAGGGGCAAAAGGGAGGATAACCACAAATGAGCCATAATCAAGCGTATCAGAGTTACTATAGATGTGTGCTCACCCTGCTACTAACGGGATGAGAAGGCCATGTCGTTGATTGGGAATTGAATGAGGCAGCACAGATCAGCCGTGGAAGAGATGGAGACGTGAAGCCGTCCGCAGAGTGACGGCAGAGATGGAAACCACGGCAGGCAGGGCTTGACAATTTTCTGGATGCTTCAACCAGTGGAAGAAGGAACATTCATCCAGACCGACCGGGGGAGCGCCCCCCCCCCCTGCCATGCCAACCTAACAGAGGTATCTAGGTACCTTCCATCATGAGATGGAAGTGGAGATTGACCTGCAGAAAAATAACTATGTTAGGTAAGAACCTCCCCCTTCAGGTCACCCCTTCTGAAACGCGCCAATTAATCTGACGTCGTGATAGCTTGGGGGATTCCCATCCAGTTCAACCTGCATCTTGATTCATCACCACGGGTTTCCACAGAATATGATTCTGTTTCTTGAATGACTAACGTACATATTAACTAAATCTCTTAGCAGTGCCCGCTTCTCCAGTCTGTCAGACGAATACGCGCCGATCGGGACGGGTGCGAGCCCCCACAATGCCAATCGCTGAAAGCTTGCTGAAGCCCAGTATGTCAGCGAAGTGCCTAGTTCAGGTCGTGTACGAATAGTTCGCATGCATGCAACTGTCTCCTCTCTCCCTGCATTGGCATTGTATTGACAGAGCGGCGGCAGCTCAGCGGCTTGCCATGTTGAATTTTGGCCATTCCTAACATTCTGGCTAGCTGTTGGATGGAGTTTTGGCGTGCCGCTTTGGCGCTCGTGTTGGAATGCCATGTGTACGGGGCTTCGAACCCGATGCCGGGAGTACGGGGACACCTCAGGAAAGACCGAGTTTGGGCTTATCTGAATGACTAAGACCCTGTGGGCTAGCGGCGCATTTGACACGATACGAGACTGGAGCGAGACGACACGACGTGGGGATTCGACAAGTGACCATCCATGGGCGGGATGGATGGAACCTTTTCCTGCGCCGGCCCGCTACGAATATGCGTTCCGGACTTCGATCCTCCCTCCCGTTCGGCCGCTTCTTCCGAGTCTGCATACATAGGTGCTGGGTAGATAGATACCAACTGCAATGCTCCGAAGAAGAAGCCTGATTTTCGACTCAGTGGCTACTGCCTAACTTAAGAGTATGTAAAATGACTGTACGGATAGGATGGTCGCAATGAGCATGCATCTGCGCGCACCTTGTCTCACTTATCTGTCTTGTCTTGTCGTCCATCACGTATCTTGGCTACTGCTGTGGCATGTTTCCTGCTTGATTGCCCAGTATCCTCGCCTTGCTTCCCCCCCCCTCCCCTGTGTGTTTGTTCGGCCGACTCGCGATTGGGTGGCGTCGACGATGGCGCGGGAGACTGGAAGCACCTAGTGCAGTAGTGTGGTTCCAAACGTGATGCGAGCCATACACGTTGTCCCGGAATCCTGGAGTCCCGGAGTCCCACGATTGTCAAGATTCGAAAGAGGTTGGTTGGGACGTATGAGGTTCCTTGTCGCCGCGATAGGGGCACGTACGTGCATACGCCGCGCGTACCTAGGTACGTGTATATATCCGTACAGGTAGGTAGATAGGAAGACACCGAGGTACCCCCCACCTTCGACTGTGGTATCAACAGATACGTACCCGTAGGTACGGATACACACTAGGTGTGGACAGAGACACACAGGAAAAGGGGGCAAAAAGGAAGGAGCCACTCGATAGCGACTTTTGGGATGGCGATTTGTCCATCGAGGGAGGGGGGGCCCTTTTCGCTCCTCCCTCGCATCCAAACTCTCGCCATTTAGTATTGATTTTTCACCACTCATTCTAGGGATACGGTAGTCAGTCACAGTGCACTTTGTCGTCTTTAACTGGGGCCAACTACGTATAGCAGAACCACACGGCCTGCTTACTGCTCACGATACGGTACATGGATGTTAAATACGTAAACTCCACAACCCACCGCCATCCAAGTCGTGGCGTGGTGTCGAGCCTCAGCCGCAGCAACGACAGACAGGCCCAGGCCCCCCCTCCAAGGTTAAGAAATAATATATCAATAAAAAACAAACGTTTACCAAAAGCAAGGGAACAAGAAGACGGCCTGGCATCCAATCAGCCTACAAGAGAAGCAAAACCCACGCTAGCACTTCACGCCAACTGTTCATCCCTCAACTTTGACTGACAGGCGACACAAAACAGTCAGCAGCTGCTGTCTCTGCCCAGACCACGTTTTTTTCTCTCTCTTTTTCGTTCGTCTCTTTCTCGCAATCCCCTGGCAACTCAAATCGTTCCTCAAATCCTTACCTCTCCTAATTTAAAACCAATAGTTCAACGGGCCCAATATTCCCCGAGGTGTGTCACCTACCCGTCTGTCATTACGTCCCCAGACCCCACGCCCGCTCTATTCGTTACTAGCTCATCCCTCCACAACCAAGGCCTTGACAAGCTCCCTCCCCCCCTTTCGCAAGTTCCCTCACAGTACAGACCCGAACACCTTCATTTATCTGCCCGCGCTGCCCGCCTACGATCCTTTTTGCATTGCGTCCCGATTCACTGCAGACCGACCACCTCTCTGTCCTAACCACCGTCAAACTGACATGATCTATATTGGTTTCGCAGCAATCATTGAGCCCTAGCCGTAGTCTGCGCCTTGCCGCCTGGCTCTGGACTCAACTTGACACCTTGGACTTTCCATCACTCGAGAACCGACGGCGCATTCATTACACGACCCAACCGATAGAATATTCGTTTCTCAATGACTATCTAGGCGACTTTCGAACCATCCCAAATCCGCACTCTTTTCACGCAGCTTACAATGCTCACTCCCCGGAGAGCCATCGCGGTGGCCGCATTTCTCCTAGTTGTCTTCTACCTAATATCCTCCTCCCACGACACGTCACCCGCTGTCGTGAAACCAGTCGTCGCTGCCTCCAACCATGATACGGCAGGCTCCAAAAAATTATCAAGTACTCCTGCCTCGACCGACGAGATCAAGCCCTCGGCGCCCAAAGCCGCCGCGCAGAAGCCCATGATGGACATGTCCAAGATGTCACTGTACGACAAGCTGGCGTATCAATACCCCTACGACCCCGAGACACGCTTCCCGGCCTACATTTGGCAGACATGGAAGTGGACACCCGCCGACGAGGAGTTTAACTTTCGCGAACAGGAGGCTAGCTGGTCCGAGCAGCACCCTGGCTTCGTTCACGAGGTCATCACCGACAAGGTCGCGGTCAACCTGCTCCGCCTCTTTTACGCGTCCGTTCCCGAGGTCCTCAATGCCTACGACGCCCTCCCTCTACCCGTCCTCAAGGCCGACTTCTTCCGGTACCTGATCCTGCTCGCGCGCGGCGGCATCTACTCCGACATTGATACCTACGCCATCCGCTCCGCTCTCGAATGGATTCCCGAGCGCATTCCGCGAGAGAGCGTTGGTCTTGTCACTGGCATTGAGGCGGACCCTGATCGCCCCGACTGGAAGGATTGGTACAGTCGCCGCATCCAGTTTTGCCAGTGGACTATCCAGTCCAAGCCCGGCCACCCTATCCTGCGCGAGATCGTGGTCCGCATCACCGAGGAGACTCTGAAGCGGAAGAAGGCTGGCAAATTGAACAACATTATTGATAAGAACGTGGTCGAGCTCACCGGCCCTGCCGTCTGGACGGATACGATTTTCGACTACTTCAACGACCCACGATACTTTGACATGAAGAACTCCAAGGGCCCCATAGATTGGAAGAACTTTACGGGTATGGAGACGTCCAAGAAAGTGGGGGACGTTGTGGTGCTTCCTATCACCAGCTTCAGCCCTGGAGTCCAACAAATGGGCGCCAAAGATTACGACGATCCTATGGCCTTTGTCAAACACGACTTTGAGGGTGAGCTTTGAGAAACCTAGGCGACCGTCTGTAACTTTGACTAACGACTGCCAGGTACCTGGAAGCCCGAAGAGCTCCGTCATATTGGCGAGCAGACCGAGGAGTCATAGACGCCTCACCGACGTACGATAGTGACGATACAACCCCCCTTCGGCACTAGTCTTTTTTTAGAATATTTGCATCTCGAACGGCGTCAACCACATGTCAGCGATCGGGCATGTTTCAGAAACCCCGTTTCGACTCGCCGAGTCGTCTTTGTTTGGCGGGAATGGGACGAATCACATACAAACTGCATACATACCCTAGAGAAACAGGAAGAGCATGGAGCTTTCCGGCACATGGAGTCTTGTTACAATTTTTTTTTTAATTTTTTTTTGGCAAAACAGGTGAAGAAGACCAGGAGAGCCTCTCACGGAAAGAGGATTGAAATGGGGTGAACGGGCCACGTTATGGTCTAGAAGGAGCTTGGAGTCTAGGCGACACGATAGAGGGAATGCTTATCAACTGCAGTTGCCGCTAGCATGGTGATAGATATACCCCAAAGCAGTTTGAAAGCAAAGCAATGAAGCGATTCTGAAAGTTCATTGTTGGGAAAACTCGGAGCACGAGTTGGCAGTACCTCAGTGTTGCAACTGATTCGGCCCATGCGAGTCAAGACGATTTCCATCAGAACCTTGGGCTTTGAATAAGCATATAGAGCTTTGACACATGTCTTCGAAACCTGGACGAGTGTATCGCCGCGCGTTACACTTCCCCGGCGTTTATTACCCGCTGCCCCTTTCTAAAGGGGGACTCCCTGTAGGTGCGACCCCCGCACGGGTTCTCCGCATTTTGGCATCTTAGCTGCTGTAAGGTTAGGGGGTAGGTGTGGGAGGGGGGAGTTCCCTTTCCCCTCCCTCTGCCAAGACATGTAACCCCAACCCGGTTCGGGGGTGACGGGGGAAGCGGGAATACCGGTCGCTGCTTCGAGTGCCAAAGTTACCCGTCCCATCTTGTCTAAAAGGTGAAGACGATCGGGGATTGTGACGGCTCATTGCGCGAAGAATCCCCAAGCTGAAGTTAAAAAAAATATTGAGAGACTCGACATGATAACGTCATAGGGACTAAAAGCCACACGCCCACATCGAGTCTCAAGTTCCACGTTGCCAGCCTGGTTCACATTGCAAATCTCCACGCCCAAAGCCGAGGTTGAGCACCGGTGAACGACGATGCCTTCAATGGTCTGCAAACGTCTGGCGACCGGCCTCGTGACGTGGAGGAGTTTGCCCAGGGCAACGTGCTGGAGAGGTATTGGTACGACAGCACAGCGGAGAACGCTCGCTTCCAGCTACCAAGGGCTTAGTTTTAGCCAGGGCCCAAGTGAGGTATGGTACTTCTCTGTCGGTGAGGAGTTGGTGAAAACATGAAGCCAGACCCAAGTGAGAGCTCTGTAGATTTTGCCATGGGAGTTCTCACAGGCGGCATGATTCCACTCCGTCTCACCGAGACGGCCTGGGCCAGAACACGCTGACACTCTTCAGCCACCGCTTCTCACACAAACCATCCCCGAACACTTTTCTCAAGTTGTATCCCTTCATGGTGACCTCCCTGCCGTCATAGCGCGCGCCCCCACCGCCCTAACCTCGTCGTCGGCCTCCACGTCAACCCCGCTGCCGCCCGCCTCGACCGCTATGCTGACATACGCCTCCCTCGACGCCCTCTCCAACACCCTCGCCTCGTCCCTCCGCACTCTCGGCATCCGAAAGGGCGACCGCCTTGCCGTATCCCTCGGCAACGGCCCCGAGTTCGCCGCCCTGACCTATGCCGCCTTCAAGCTCGGCGCCGTGCTGGTCCCGCTGAACCCGGGGTTCAACGCGAAGCAGGTTGGCGCAGCGCTTCGGCACCTGAGCGTCGAAGTGTTCGTCATCGGAAAGGTCACGGATCTGCCGTACAAGCCGTGCCGTGGACGGAGCAACCTTGACCTTTTGCAGACGCTAGTGCCGGACCTGGACAAGGGCAAGGTCGAGAGCGAGCAGGTGCCGAGCTTGAGAACCGTTATCGTGCTGGACAACGCGGCCTCGCACCCGCTGGTGGACTTCCCCGCATTCAGGGCGCTGACGCCGTACGATGTGCTGCTGGACGGGTCCGACGGGCCCATCGTTCCGGACGCGCCGCTGGACCCCGGTGAGACAATCAACATCCAGTTCACTTCGGGGACGACGTCCCATCCCAAAGCGGCGATGCTGACGCACACGGGCATCCTGAACAACGGCCGCCTGATCGCGCAGAGGATGGGGCTTGTGCCGCGGGACAGGATCGTCGTGCCGCCGCCGCTGTTCCACTGCTTCGGGTGCGTGCTGGGCTACATGGCGACGGCGACCTCGGGGGCGGCGATCCTGTTTCCGAGCCCAGCGTTCGACCCGGCGGCGACGGTGAAGATGGTCGCCGACTACGACGCCACGGGACTGTACGGCGTGGCGACCATGTTCGTGGCGGTGATGGAAGCGCTGGCGGCCGGGAGCGCGGCGAGGCCCGAGGACATGCCGCGGGGGCTGAGGAAGGGCATCGCGGCGGGGAGCTCGGTGCCAGAGAGCCTCATGCGGAGGCTGTACGAGACGCTAGGCCTGCAGGACCTGGTTATCTGCTACGGCATGACGGAGACAAGCCCCGTGAGCTGCATGACGGCGCCCGACGACGCCTTCGAGAAGCGGACGGGGAGCGTCGGGCGCGCGATGCCGCACACGGCCGTCAAGATTGTCGACCCGCAAGACAGGGGGCGTATCGTGCCGCGAGGGGAGCGCGGGGAGCTGGCGGCATCGGGGTACCTCGTGATGAAGGGGTACTGGGGCGACGAGGAGAAGACCCGGGAGGTCCGGCGGGAGGAGGCGGACGGGCGGGTGTGGATGTACTCGGGCGACGAGGCACTCATGGACGACGAGGGGTACGTCCAGATCACGGGGCGGATCAAGGACCTCATCATCCGCGCGGGCGAGAACATCCACCCGCTCGAGGTAGAGAACTGCCTCTTCCAGATGGAAGGGGTGCAGGAGGCCGCCGTGGTGGGCGTGCCGGACGAGAAGCTCGGGGAGAGCGTGGCCGCCTTCGTGGTTCCTCAGAAAGGCTGGGTCGTGGACGGCGAGGGGTCCGCGGGGGAGAAGGAGGGGATCACGAAGGAGGGCGTGAGGCGGTGGGTGCGGGAGCACCTGTCGAGCCACATGGTGCCGAAGCATGTCTTCTGGGTGGACGAGTACCCCAAGACGCCGAGCGGGAAGATTCTGAAGTTCAAGCTGAGGGGCATGGCCAAGGGGCTTCTTCAGGCGGACGAGGAGTCATAGAGTGAGGGATGGCGTGGGATGAGACGCAGAAAGGACGGTCAGAGTTGGAGGTGAACCATCTTTGAGGGTGACTTGAAGCTACCCTAGTTGGAAGGCATCGTGGGCATTTCATAGAAGCCGCAGCATCGCCTCTGTAGTATTTAGCTAAGGAATGGCACTATAGCTGAGTGATATCCGTATATATTACTCCGTAATTGTGACATTCATGTCGTAGTGAACGTCGGACATGGGAGTTAAAATGGGAGTCGGAATGGGAAGGAATATAGTTCTTGAACAATGGCCCTCATGTTTTGCCGTTATCATGGAGAGAGAGAGAGAGAGAGAGAGAGAGAGAGAGAGAGAGAGAGAGAGAGAAAGCAAAAGGAGGAGTCAGAATGTCAGGGTCTTCGCGAACATGCATCCTGGGTCATTGGCTTGGCTTGGGAACCATGATAGCAGAGAAAAGACACTTGGGATTCTGACCAATGAGCATGACACGGAGACAGAAGTCAGGGGGTGCGTGCCTGTGTCATTGAAATCACGAAGGACGGAAAGTTGGCTTCACAAATCGATTACAACCGCTACGGCTAGTGCTCGACCTTGAGCGAGAAATCGACGTGCGGCACGCCCTGGTGGATGGCGCTCGTTGAGAGAATGTCCACATCTGTTCTCCTGTCAGCGGCCCGGACCTGACGCAGCCCAGCCAAACCGAACCCCGGGGAGACTCACCATTGCATACGTAGTCCTCCACGTTTTCCAGCGTCAGCCCTCCCGAGACCTCGACCAGGAAGTGCTTCTTGCCCGCCCACTTGGTCTTGAGGCTCTTGGCGGCGACCTTGACGCCCTCGCCGGTGAAGTTGTCCAGCATGACGACGTCAGCGCCGGCGGCGATGGCCTCGTCCGCCTCGTCCTCGGTCTGCACCTCGACCTCGACCTTGAGGCTGAAGCCGCCGACGCTCTTGGCCGCCTTGACGGCGTTGGTGATGCTCCCCTTGCTCCAGACGTGGTTGTCCTTGAGCATGATCATGGAGCTCAGGTCCATCCTGTGGGCGTCAGCGCCGCCGACGAGCATGCCGTACTTCTCCACCAGGCGGAACCCGGGCGTCGTCTTGCGCGTGCCGGCGAGGACGCCAGCGTAGCCAGCGGCACGGAGGTTCACCAGCATGCCCCGCGTCATGCTCGCCACGCCAGAGCACCGCGCCAGGGTGTTGAGCGCCACCCGTTCGCCCAGCAGGATCCCGCGCGCGGGGCCGGTGACGGTCGCGACGCGCATCTTGCCCTTGGGGGAGGCGCCGTGGCCGCGCAGCTCGACGTGCGAGCCCTCCTTGACGTGCCACTCGACGGCGCAGCCGCACTGGGCAAAGACCTCGTCCACGAACGGCCGGCCCGCGATGATGCCGCCCGACTTGCCCCAGAGCGTCGCCGTGCGCGCGTCGTTGCCGACGACGAAGCCGCCGTAGTCGAATGTGGGCGTGTCCTCGGCCAGCCAGGCCGTGACCTGTGTTTTCCAGCTCGGCGGGAGAAGGTGCGCCGGCGAGCCGTGCTCGAGGGGGACGTCTTCCATCTCGGTGGGATGAGGGGGGGGAGGGGTCCCGGCTCGGTCGGTTCGTATGCGTTGGTGAGTTTTGGTGGAGGAAGGAGTACTCGGTTGGTGTACTGTCAGTTCAAGAGAAACAGAGGCACTTTGGAGGAGACCGAGACAAAGGGGGGTTTGATTGTACGACGAGAAGCTTGTCGCCACGGTTTGGGTTTCGTTGACGCTGTTTGCCGTTCTCGGCTTCTGTCGGTGCCGCCTTCTGCCGAGTGGTGGGGGATGTAGGCGAGGACAGCTGGGCGGGGTGATCTGACAGCCGCGACCAGCTGGCGCATTGCTTTGACCTCATGGCACCAAAAGGTACAGCTTTGCACACTGGCCACAAATGACTTCATAACGACTGTTCAATATTGTTGTTATTACTAAACGGCGAACTGCAACGAAATTTATCTATATTTTCTCATCATCTCCCTATATATTTTGAAATCTCGTACTTGCCATTAGATCCGCTTGTTGGCGAGAAACTGCTCGGTCGATTCGACGCGCAGTCTTCCCCAAGCGATTGCGTTTATGCCATCAACGTCGGCAGCAATTGTCCATGAGTCGTACGAGCGGATGTACTGGAAAACAGGAAAGGAGAAGCCTTTCGTGAACAGCTACAGCTATATCCATGGCAGATAGGAGGTCCTCGGCAGCCATTACTAAGTAAACGCTCCCAGCTTCATCTCTGTCAAGGAGACCACGGCAGCTGGGGAGATGGGTTGTCACTCGGCTACCATCTCGTATACCGTCCTCGACAAACTAGCCAAGACGCCCATTCATTAGATTGCCGAGGCGGTGCACCTGGACTTAGCTTTGTTCCGAATAGATAGCTAGGTGAATGTGGTGCGATTGCGGCAAACGGCCCGGGATCAGGAAGAGCAAAGTCTGTCGAGCCCATGTTCAGACGCGGCATTTGGCGATGCAGGCCGATGTCCGCATAGGTCTAACAGTCGTCCGTGTTTGATATAGTTATTGGTAGATGTCGCAAAAACGACGCCGTTAATTGCGAGCAGCAATTAACGCCTTATCTCCTGCGATAGTAGAAAATATGGTACCGCATTTGATTTGGTTTGGATTGATACTCTCTTGTGAGGTTCGATGGGAAACGCTGCTGACGGTACCTGAGTGGTGTCATACCAGGATGTGTCCAGGAGGAGACTGTCCAAATCCGAAAGGACGGGCAGATCATGAGTCAGTTCGCGGGCAACACCAGGGGAACATGATATTCTTCACGTTGATATCTGGTGTTGTCATGGCATGGTTGCGATAGTCAGAAGCTACCTTTTGAACTAAATGCCTTCTGGTCTCACCCAGAAGACCAGATAACTCACGTTGCCGAGACTGCTTCTCAGCTTAAACCAGACCATCAAGACAAGAAGCAAACTGTGGCTGCCATGGACTGGTTGGTACCAGCGGCCCACCTCTATGTGCTGGCCTCAGCTAGGAACTCGTCGCGTTCTAGGACCAAATGTCACGTAGGGCGCCAACGCATCGGCTTTTCAGCTATGGCTGAAGAGTTGGATCGTCAACAAGCTACCGTTTGGGCCAAGTACGGGGACGCGCAACCTTGTCGTACTACCTCGCGCTCCTAGTAAGCTTCACGGCGGCCTCTCTCGAAGATGCGATGCGCCGCTCGGTCTTCGGAAGAGAAGTTTCTGACGCATTTCTTTGTCGGCTTCCTATGCCGCATGGTCGCGGGCAGTGCGGTCGCATCCGTGGCGGCATGTCACTATCTGCGACAGTTACACATAAGAATAGCTGTCATACAATCTCCGTGTGTCTCGATGTGTCGATGGATACGTGCTTGAAAGAGAAAAAGGCGATTGACCGTTGAGCCGGGGCGAACTCAGCCATGAGGGATGTAATATTGGCTGGTCACTGTCGGATGAGTATGACTCCCCCGTCTGAAGGATTCCCGAGGAAAGGATGAGACCCCTGGCCAACATGCGTTCCCCCGGATTCTGATGTGTTCACAATTGCGACTCCACATCAGGGGTACCGGGACGAGCCGCTGGCTTGGCTGCTGATTGGGTGGCTGCCTTGTTCTCGACTACAATCATGATATCGAAAATAGACCTCGCGACGTTGGTGGGGACAGGATTGCAAATCTAATTGCACTCGGCGACTCCACGACGGATGAGAACGAGCTTGGTTACTCTTAGTTGGTGTGATATGTCTATATAAACTCGTCATTTATGCGCACATGGGGCAGCGTTTGTATCAACTGGAAAGAAGTTGAATAGATCTGTCGTCAAGACGTCGAAATTCAAATCGGAAAACGGATTTAATACCGGACCCGTGCCGGCCATGGGAATGGCATAATCCGTCAGGGCCTCAGGCTGACGGTACCCCCTATTGCTAAAGAAAATGAGGTCGTCGGAGGTTGTGGTGGTGGTCCTATTCTCCTCGAGCGACGGAAACTGGATGTTGGTTGGGAAGCGGCTGTCGGACCACACTGGCGAAGACTCGGCGGATGCGACATCTGGAAAGGCGCCTGCTGATTTTGACGCATTGATGGACTGCTCGACTGCCCATACGATACGCTTGATGGAGTTGATGGCGTTGGTGACCGGCTCGTCTCCAATAAGAGAGTGCAGGCAAGAGATGGCCATCTGGATGAATTCAAGGTTGTGAGGGTGCTTTGCGGGATGGCGCAGACTATCGTACAAAAGAACTGCGCAGGAAGACTCGATGAAGAATGCAAGGTACCGACGTGTCTGCTGGCTAGCATTAGTCACACTGCAGCCTCGATCAGAGTGGGGAATCCTACCTTGCACTCTTCTGGGCCCCGAAGCATGTTGCTTGTGAAAGCGAGGGCATCTTGTGCAGCATCTGTGGCATGTCGACAGGCCTGTCTGAGCCAGATGTCTCCCATTCCGCTTGATCCCTCACCAGACAAGAGTGCAGCTTCTGCAATCAAGAACGGCCGATATATCAGGAGAACCACATGGAAATAAACTGGAGCACATCAGCATCTGACGTGGCCCAAAGGCTAGTCTTGGTTCCAGATGTACTTACTGTTATGTAAGAGCAGACTGGTTTCGGCGTTCCATGCATCTTTCCGCTGGAATGACGCCGCGGAGCCTAGTCCCCATTTGTCACCGTATTGGCGGAGTTGACTATGCAATATCTCCGCCTTCCCATAGAGCTGACGGAGTGAGTCGGTCCTTCGATTATATATCGACTCGACGGTTTCTTCGATAACGCTAGAAAACTGGCAAAGAGCTATCATGGTGGGCTGGCCGTCTGGATACGGACAGCTGTCAAAATCCGACTTTTGTATCATACTTCGTCGTCCAACTACCAAGCTAAGCCAACTAGTTCTTGTGTCAGCTTATGCTAGAAAGGAGAGATGGGGTGGTATATCGAATATGGTAGCTTACATTTCAAGGAAGTAAAGACACCAAAGGGTCACAAGCCTTCCCTGAACTTCCTCTTTCCGGGAGATGGCGCTTGTAGTCCCTGCGTGCAAACCCATCGCCAGGGCCTTCCGACATGCAACGCCATTGTGTAGATATGCAGAGTTCGGCCGTCCCATGTTCAGCTGATAATATGCCGTGAGTATTGAGAATTGTATCATTGGCAGTGTGACAGAATCCTCGTAGATGACGGCTTCCTTCTTGGCGTGGACGAAGAGCAATTCTGCTGCGTCTGTTTGCGCGGTGCCCAAGGCTCCTAATGCGAGAGCCGCAAAAAGTACAGTTTTCCTTTGCGGTTGGATGACTGATTCTGCAACATTAGAGAACAAAGCCGGAATCATTTCGTCCATCTCGCAAGGGGTGAAGAAGGGTAAAGTTGAGAGATGCGTGTGTTTGAAGTGTGCCACGAACTCTTCTGCCTGTGCTGGTGAGATCGGACACGCTGTCGGCTGCACCGGCTCAACGTTAATCTTCAGCGGCATGCCGAAAAATATGTTGCGTTGCATAAACATATCTAACCCCGGTCCTCCCTCTTGAACATCTCGGGCGAGGCTTTGACCATATTGTCCGGATAGAAGACCCCGATGAATCTGCTGTAGAAAGGCGGAGTTTGACGAAGGTCCGTAGAAGAGCTGTGTGCTATCGGTAGATTTTGGAGCATGATGGGCGGCTGCAACGCTGTGGTAGACTTCTGTCTGCGCGACTTGCTGTTGGTGTTCCTCTACTGATCGATGAGAGCCGACTTCGTCTGGGCGGCTGTGCTCAGAGCCCGGCGTCGACGCGCCATGTACCGTCTCGGCATCCATAGCCGCCGCAGCGGCTCGCTTTGTCGTCAACCGCACGCGTGGTTTTAGCCGATAGACGCAGTCTGATGGCTTGTTCTCGCATTGGCGACAGGGTTTGTGCCCGGAGCACTTCACTTTGCGACGGCGGCATGGCTCGCAGGCTTTGGGAATCTTGCCGCCGAACTTGCTGCCGTTGGACTGCATTCCAGCATTAACTCCGAGACGTGAGACCCGCTAATGCAACCAAGGCCTAGATCTGAGGCACAGCAGTGCAGGCACGGAAGTGAAGATAATTCCTCAAGTCCGAGAGGAATTTCAGTGGCCTATCGGTTATGAAAGCGGTTCCAAATGATGACGGGAAAAGAATGTGATGAAAATGGCCTTGCCCGTTGAGCCGGATTGTGATGACATAATTCCGTAATTCCGTTAAGTCCGTGATAGTCGTGACGCGGTTCGGATCCACTTGTCACAACCAGCCATCAACAACTTACAAAACCAGCTGGGAAGGTGTTGGTGTATCGGGTGCAATTACGGATACTGATGTCGGAAAAACGAACGAGATTAACCGAATCTCTGCCCCCCGTGTAAGCTATGCTTGCTTGATAAACAGTTAGATATACTATGTCATAAGTTACATTACAGTCACCGTACTGTTGACGCACCGCAGAGCGCATTAGTCAGTAGCTGCTGCTGGATATTAAATAATATCGACTTAGCTTACGGAAGACCACAGCGAAGAATCTCCACCGCGGTCAGTATTGTTTCTGTTTATACTCTAGAATATTAGACAGCACTTTGCATTTTTCAATGAACATTCGTTCATTGCACATCTCGCAAGAGGCGTGCAGCATTATCCGGGGCTGAATCCATTGTTAATAAGTGTGATGAACGGAGTATTAAGTGCGCATTTCCAGCACACCACGTGGGTGAACCACTCCTATGGAAAAACGAAACCTCTTCCATCACAAGTACACTCGTCACTACTGGAGTCACCCCGAGTTTACTTCCGGCTCTTTGTATAATACCAAACCTGTATACACCATGGCAATCGCTTCATTTCTCCAATCATGCGTTGATTTGCACCCCTCAGCCTTGATGCCGCTCTCGCTTGGATTGACACCTCATTGCTAGAAATAACTAATATTTAAGAAAACCCTTCAAATTATCAGCATCAGAGCGTATTATCGACCGTCAAAGTTACATATTATAGTGTCCAGGACAACGGTAATCTGTGCCCTGTCTTGACGGCTTCCGGACATCTTCCTACTCCTTATCTTTTGCACTCACCTATGGTTCTGAGATATACTGCTGGCTTGGCCTGCAGAAGTTACGTGAGCAGAAGGGTTGTGTAGTTAAATGCTTGACTAGAGGTGTGGCCGAGGAGGGTAGCCTATTCATAGAGACATTCCCGTAAGTCGCCGTGCTAGGCTGATAAAGATAAGTCATATTCTTTGTCCCCAGGGGGATTTATACACAGCCTCAAGCCTGGGCTTCGCTAACCTACCGCTTCAAGTACATTTCAATGTCTTGATAGCGCCCCCACCCAATCAGAACTACAATCTTTGACATATTTCATAGCCTTCAGTAGGATAGTAGTACAATATTGGTAAAGTCACCGAAAGTTGTCGTCCCTCGAAAAGTCTGAACGTTGGCAGCAACCGTAGGATGGTAAAGGTCCGAGTTATGCTGTCAAGCTCTAGTGAGTATCAATGGGGCTATTTGTGAGCACACGTCTCTCTTAGTATCAATGTGACGATTTAGGAGTTCATCACTGCGGTGACAATCCCCTTAACATAAGGTAATAACAACTCATAAGCCTCTTTACTATTCTCAGGTCCCCTTCAAATCTTCAATAACAACTTGGTTTATTGTGTCCTCCAATGCAGCTCATCTACCTAATAGACAATATAGTTATCTTTAGCCTGATGTTATCTGAAAAACACTAAAGCTAATGTTATGAATAGAAGGATTAAAAGCATCGAAAGCTGTAGAGATGAAAAGAAGGGTAATTCGGCATTTGTCATCAATATATGTGTCTTATCTCGTGCACGCTTTTTAATACATCGTTTTGGTAGAGGCCTTCTCTACGCATCTAGAATAGTAAAACTGTTGGGATATTCAACTGTTCAATGGTGGAGCCGATCCATGGTCACGTGATTTACTATCACGTGACTCACCCTAGCGGCTCACTTACACCACCACAAATATCTATAGTAATAACTTCTTCTTTTTTTTCCTATTATCTATCTTAATAAGTAACTAGTAGTTAATTAAACTATTACTGCTTTATAATTATAATCCCTATAATACTAACACTAATTAGTAGTTAACTTTATAGTTACTACTACTATAGATTAGTAAGGATTATTAGAAGAGGCTTATAATACTTTACTTACTATAGCAGCTTAGATTAAAGTATTAAAGTGCTACTTAGCCTAAAGATTATTAGTACTTAGGATCTTATAATACTTAGTAAATAACCCTTTAAGCCTTACGTCTACTATATAATAACTACTATTACTACTATTAACTTTATTACTTTTAGAGAAGTCTTTTTTTTTATATACTACTTACTTACTAATAACCTTTATAGTATTTAGTATAATTATCTTCTTTTTATACCTAAGTTTCTTTAAGTTTTTTTTTTTTTATCCTTTAACCTTTTTTTCCTCTAATTATTAAGATTTTTATCTTACTAAGTTTTTATCTTACTATAGTAGTAACAGCCTATATAAGATTATAAGTAAATAGACTTCTATAAGTTCTTATCTAAATAAGATTTTACTAATAAGACTAGCTATAAAGTAGTTAAGTAAGAACTACCTAAGTAATTTACTTTTAATATAATATTTATAAGTAAATAGCTTTTACTAATCTTACCTTTATATACTTCTAATATTATATTATTAGCTAGGTGTAGCCTATAGTAATTATAACTTTTTCTCTTAACTAAATAATTAGTAGCTAAGCGTTACCCTTAGTAAGTATACCTCCTTTTGTTCTTTAAGTAAAGTAAAAAAGGTAAAAGTTACTTATATTACCTTAATTTACTTACTTTTTTTTATCCTTTAAATACTTATTAATAACTATATTATCTTTCTTACTTTTTCTCCTTCTTTAAGTAAAGTATAGTTATTAGTAACTAATATAACTTTTACTTAACTTTACTATCCTAATTAATCTAAAAAGACTACTTATTATTTACCTTTAAGTAAGGTATATAACCTTAACTCCTTACTTTTTTTCTTTTAAAAATCTTTAACTATAGTATCCTACTTACTAAAAAGTAAGGTCTATATATATCTTCTTTTAGAAATAGTATATATCTCCTCTTGTTCTTTAAGTAAGATCTACTATAAGGCCTCCCTAGAGCTATCTCTTTACGTTACTAAAGCGTAAGGCCTCTTTAAAGCTATTTACTACTATCTATTTATTTATTATTTTATTCCTTTATTTACCTTATCTTTTACTTATACCTCCTTATATTATATTATTTATTTACTTATCTTATTATTATTTATACTAATAGTAGTAATTCCTTTAATATATAGATTTACTTTTAACCCTATAGGTAAGAAGTAAGTGCTTATATTTAAAAGGTTAGTAAAGCTAATAGAGGGTAACTATAGTAAAAGAAGGACTAAGTAAGAGGTAAAGTAAACTATAGGCGCTAGCTAAGGTAGAGGAGTATATCTATCTATAAGATATTAAGGATTTATATCTTATCCTAAAGTATAGCTAGCCTTTTATTATTATATAACTATAAGGTATAACTAATTTAGCTAATATTCCTAACAGCCTTACCTAAGTTAAGTAATATAACGCCTTAAGTACTATTATTATACTCTAAATAATATAATATAGCTTTATATAGCTATATAGTTAATAGCTATAAAAATATACTACTAAAGACTTTAAAAAATAGTTACTTAATACCTTTAAGGGTATTACCTATAAAACTATTATTAAATTTAGAGACTACCTAATATATAGGTGTATATAGGTATTAATAGTAAAGTTACTAACTATTACTAAATAAATCTACTATACCCTTAAGGCTAATAATTTAAAGGTATAGACGCTTAAGGATATTAAAAAAAAAAAAAAAAGTAAGGATTTTTACTTAAAGATTAATAAACCTAACTTTATAAAAGATATTATAAACCTACTACTAAAAATAATATTAATATAAGATTAACTAGGCCCCTCCTATATTATTACCCCCTTAGTATAAGTTACTTAAGTCTAAGAAGGTTAATAAAGGCCTATTAATCTAGCCTTATTATATAATAACCTAAATTTTATTCCTTTACTATTTAAGTAGGTAAGTAACACTTACCCTTACTTATTAGTTACACTAGTTACTACTACCTTATTAGTAACTTACTAGCTTACTAACCTTATTAAATTATATCCTAATAAAATAAAGTATAGTAAAAAGGTATATAAGTTACTTAAATTAAAGCTTATAATCTTTTATAACTACTACATAAAGGCTAGAATCTAGTAAAAGCACTTTATAAGCGCCTTCTTTATTATACTTAAAGGTAAGGCTATAAAGTACTATACTAACTATCTTTATAACTAGACTAACTTTATTACTATAGTTATATAGATAAGAGGTAATTTTAAAAATAAAAAGACCTTTTAGGCCTACCTTACTAAGCTATAAAGGACTAATTTAATAAAAACTATCTTAAATAATCTAAATAAAAGTAAGGCTAAATACCTAAAGTTACTTATTAAGAAAGTAACTATTTTTATAAGAATAGTTATAAGGATTAGTACCTTATCTAACGTAGCCCTCTATAACTAATTACTTAACTTTTACTATAAAATAGAAAAGTGCTCTCTTACTTTTTTTAATTTATCTTTAATATTTACTAGCGTATATAGCTAGCTCTAATTAGTAATTAGTAATATAATATAATTTAAATAACCTATATATTAATACCTAACTAAAGAAGTAAATAATTAATACTAGACTAACTATACTTATAATAGCTAGTAAAGTTACTAGTAATTTAGCTAATATAACTATAGCTATAGTAACTTTATACTATAGCGCCCTTTTAATAGTAATCTATAGTAATAAGTACCCCCTTTACCCTTATTATTATTTATAAAAAAGTACTATATATATAGTAAGCCTAACTATTAGTTAATAAAGCACTTAAAAGACAAAAAGTAATAAGCCTACTATA